ATTCATACCTAACTAACTATGTTGGATTAACAATGCTTTTAGCATTAATTAGCTTTTCCAGCGATGGCAATAAAATAAGCGTGAAAATGAAAAACAGCCGTATAATGTATAGAAAATAAATTATGGTAGGTACGTTCGAACTCTTTCTTTACAATCGAGATTATGTTGTACGCTTTAACGTAGGGAAAAACAACAATCAATGAATTATCAAGGAGAAATATCGAATTAAATCTGAAAGAAATGGTATTTTTCCAAAATTGACGAAATAAATGTTTTTTTTATTATTATTTTTTCATTTTATATTTTTATATTTATTTATTTAAAGCTTCCTTCGTCTCTTTATATTTACGGTATTAATTCTTCAACTGTGCGCGTTGTTTAGCATTATGTTTCACCAGCCCAGGACGAAGAACAGGCAACCTATACCAAAAAGGGTGAAGAACAAGCAACCTACACCAAAAACGAACAAGACTACAAGCTCAATTTACTTATTTTTTTAATATAAGCGGTAGCTTATGGCATGCGTGACGATTAGAAAGATTTAAAGAGCGGGCGCAGCTTTGTCGCCACAAATATGGCTGAAGCCCTCTATTCATATGTTCGCGCACCTTTAAATATTAGTGTTTGAGCTTTAGTTAGCGTTGCTTGTTTTTGTTGAGTTTATTTTTTTGCAACGGAATGCACACTTTCATATAACTACGCTATAGTAAAAGCTTTATATAAAGTATTAACAATTATTCGAAAAATATAGTTTTTCCTAAACACTTAATAAGATTACTAAAAATAAGACAAGAAAAAAAAAAGTGTTTATGCAAACTAACCAAAAAAAAAAGCTTTATTAGAATGCTATACGATATTTGGTTGGAAAAAAACCAATTCATTAAAGAGTGAAACAAGAAAAATTCCATAAGAGAGTACATGCCAAAAAGGTGGGCTACTGAATATTCTCAGTCCAACCTCTTTTAAAGGAACTTCCTCGTTGAAACATACGCATATCCTTGACTTGACTTCTTCAATAAAGAAAACAAACTCGAAAGATGGTGACTGGGACTGTCCAAGTTTGATTATCATTAAAAAAGAGGAATTAAAAGTGGAAACGACGCGTTGTCCTGTATGATACCAAAGACAGGAGATTAGAAAATATTTTAGAGATCCTAGAGAGTAAATAGCTAGTGAGTTACTGCAAGAATCAAGTAGATGTTTAGAAAATTGCGTCTGGATCAAGAAGACCCTGGACAAAGAATGTACAGAAACGTGAGGATGATTTTGAATTGCGAAGAAATGGACTGAGCCAAAAGTCATTCCAATCTTCCATAAATGTCCATAATAGTCCATATAGACATACGTACAAGAAACTCTAGATCGTAAAATGCACAACGATATTCCAGGATGTAGAATTGAGAAGACTAATCGAAGGAAAACATCCACGTAAGTGCGACAAACGAAGCTATACGACATAGGAAGAACCCAATCATACGACCTCTAACGCGAATCTAAAGTTAATTGAAAAGCTGATGGGAAATATTTACATTAGCAAACTGCGATCGAGAACTTCACAAGGAACCTTTCCTGAGGAACTTCAAACGGGTCAAACATCTTCTGCGCATAGAAAAAGAAACTATTCATGACGATGGTAGATAACTTTGAAAGTGAACTAAATGAAGAGAAGATTTTGGACACCGTTCAAGGCAAAGAAGAAAAGGGCCGAGATCCACAATACATTAAGTAGTAATCACGCGAGTAAATACGAAACCAAGAAAATGTCGACCAGTTACAATCGACCACGGGGGAGAATAAATGCCCGTATATCACTTCACTAATACCGTTATTCGTACATTGGCTTTCCAAAGTAAGGGACTACTCTACGTGATGTCGTCGACTCTGGTTATGATAACTTAAAGACTAGCGAAAATACTGATGATTGAACACAAAGACCCATCGAGCAAGAAAAACACTACCGAACCCTGTAATAAAACTTCTTCATATTATAATTATAAGTAATTAGTTTGCAAATTGTGATTTATTCAATGCTTCAATAGAGATAGCATCTTTCACATAATTTAAAAAGGGAAAAATCGAATTGTATCAGAAAAAACCTGCACCGCCTTCACTGAGGACAAATGCTCGAATCTCTCGACCACTTTAATCAAATCAAATACTGTCGATAAACGCCGCCCATGCAGCCCCATAACTTACCTTTGTCATATAATCTTCGTAGTTTATAATTTCCTAAAACCTCGTAGGCTTGATTGATTGCTCGAAACTTTTTTGCTGCCTCCTCGCTCCCTTGATTCTTGTCGGGATGATAAAGTTTTGATAGGTTATAGTATGCTGCCTTAATTTCTCCAATGGTTGAATTCTTTGATATACCAAGATCCTCATAATAATTCTGATGAAGCACAGAAGTGCTACTAAAATTAACTGAAGTTTGCGCTGTATTTAAGACCAATACATGGCGCAGCATACGAGACCGTGTGTTTATCATGTCTCTCTGGGAACACCACAACTCATAGTAATAAATAAAGTTTATTTATACGTTTTGTTTACTCAATCAAAACAGCGGTTAATCACTTTGTTATATCATAATCGTATAAGAAAAAAATAAATAAATAACGAAAACATTTAGCAGCTGTTTGTAGGTAACAAACAAAAATCCAGTTTTCGTAGCCCATGTGTTGCACTAAAAAAGTGCAGTAAAACTTCGAAGAATACATTTTTCTCAATAACCCATGAAGCTTACATCATTGTAGAAATCTTTATAGAAAGTAGGCTAATAATATTAATATCTAATATTTTCTCTCATTTAATTCAAAACCAAGAACTTAAGGAATTAAGGAATTCCAGCGATATGATAAATTTATTCCATACATGATTCGGAAAACTTTCGGTACATATACTCATTTAATTTTTTTTATACCTTTTGAACTTGGTTACACTTTCTCATCAGTTTTGCAAACAGCTGCAGATTTGTTTGCAAAGGCGGTTTTATGTATCAAACAATTGCTGTTCTTCTTAGTTTTGAAGATTCATCATTAAGCGATCATTGAGATACGGTTTGCAATGGATTACGATAAATTAAATCATACGGCTTTTAAGGGTAATGTATTAGTGGAAAAAAGCTTAGACTTAAAGCTACGCGAAAAGAAGGCCAATTACTATCTAAAGTGGGGTGTAATTAATTTGCTGTTGTTGCTCGTTCTCATGTCTGTCTATAGTCAGTCTTCTTGCGTTCAGTCAAATTTTTTAAAACTAGAGTATGGTGCTATAATTATAATAGGTCTTAACACCATAGCCTGCTTTACTAAATACTTATTCTATATGTTTAAACGAGAATTCCTCCACGGAACGGTGCAGCAGAAAAATTTACTAAAATTTGATGAAAATGATAGTTCTTTTGTTATTTTTGATCCCATCAAAAAGAAAGAAGTGCAGGCTGAAGATACGTTGCAAAACACCGACATAAATACCAGTTGGCATTCATCATTCATTGGAAATCGTTCTCTTGATTCAACTAATTGGAATTACACCCGTACACCATTGCGCAAGAGTTTAAGTCCCCAACAGCAGCAAAAACAGGTGCGAAATGAATCTTGTTCAAGAAGGACGCATAGTTCTCCTCTAAATGTCAGTGCTTTGAATAATGAAAGCTTCGTTTCCCCATATCAGCATTTCTCACGAGTGAATCAGATTAATGATGAAGGGAGTTTGCAACAATATTTGAACGATGTATTGCGAAAAGAGAACAGCGTACCGGAAACTCATGATGTTAGCCACAATTTTAATTCTAATTCTATTAACTCATTTTGGAACTATTGCAACTTAGCAGCTAATGTCTTAAAAACATCAATATATCAATTGGCACCAGCAACATCTTCAGCAAATCAAAATAAGCAAGTATCTAAAGAAGATATCGGTCTCAATATTGTAGACAAAAATTCCGAAATTATTAAACGTATATCGTCGGAAAAATTATCACGTTACGTTGGTAATTTAAGGACGTGGATATCAGCAACGATTTTACAACGCTTGGCTAATGAAATCCAAAAAGTAGACGAGTCTTTTAAACATCGAGGTCTACTTGATATGCAAATCGGTAGCATAGGTTTGGAAAGATTGAAAAAGACCGTAGAAAATAAGCAGTTTGTTACCTTGCATATGCCAATGTTACCGTTGATCGTACCGTTTTTAGAAATGTCCAGCAATCAAGAGTATTTAGTGCAACGAATAAAGGATTTAGCTAAAGGTTCATGTATAACAGATTATCGTTGGGATTCTGGCTCGGAATATCATGGTCTTAAATGGGACGAGCACTTACCAACGGATGCTGCCATAATATTTCATTTATTTTGTGTTTACTTGGATACGCAGTTAATGCCATTACCTCAAAATGAAGGACGTCCATTCTACAGTCGTTATGTGGTTGTAGGAGAAGAGAAGCGTTCTGGCAAAGACACTGTAGCTTTGGTGCAAAATAGATCACGTTGTGCTATACTTTGCACTAATCCACTTAAACCTAAATTCAATTTTATTAGTGAAGGCGAAATTCACGCTTGTGCGTATGACCGCAATAATTTGTTTTATGTTATCATACAATTCTTGGTTTACATGCGTTCGCATCAGGAGAGCTGCTTGGAGGGTGTTAATCTCGGTGCAAGTGGAATTAATCTTATGTGCGCCATTGACGACTAGAATCATCACAGTACATATTGCTATTTTTAAGAATTTAAAAACTTGACTTTCTTTAAACATATTTTTAAATAAAAAAACCAAAATACCTTCCAAATTCTGAATAAGCAAAATCTTCGCTTCCTCCAACTTTTTTTGCAAGTTATTTTCATACTCAGTTCGAATTGTTCTTTGTGCAAAAGGCGACCATTAACCTGAATGATTAGATGTGTAAAAAGTTTTAATTTTGATATCTCAGGCTCCTGCTTTCGTAAAGGAAACGTCGTTAGCATCGTGATCAGTTGTTGACGATTTATCAGTTTCGTAAGAAGCGCTAGTGTCTCCAATTGCTAATTAAAAATTTAGTTAGTGTGTTTATTCGTCCGATAAAGGACAAATAGGTCGAAGGCAGTCGTTTCGAGAACGAACAGGAAAACGGTTCTTCCTCCTCTCAACCACTAGGGTATTTCTTATCCGCACTATTGTGTTTAGCGAATAAGGAAGCATTGAAGGTTTTTTAAAAAACTATAAGTACCGGTTGTAAAGTTACGTAATTGTTAAATACGAGAAATAGGAACCGGAATAGGGAAGTGTAAGCGTTTAAGTCCTAATTTTTTACATAGACAGTTTTAGGTCAAGATTGGATTGTGTAAATAATCAAAACAGTTTGGTGCAGACCGCTTTAAGAGCGGGTGGTTGATTAATCAAGATTTCTTCGTTAAAAGAGAGATCTCCATTTCTTCTTCTTTTTGCTTTTGCAATTTTACAAATTTGATTCAAAATCAATACCATTTCCCTATATAAGGTTATGTAAATGCGAACGTACGTAACACCGAAAAGGGGTTAAGATGGACCCACCTTTTATTATACCGATCGATTTAGAATTACTTTCTGAGAATTACTTTCTAAGCTTGTCTGCCCATCTAATGGGTGTGAGTAATATAGTTAAGAGATGTCAATAGATGCGTTATGTAATAAAAATAAGCAAAAGGTGTTAAAAAACACTGCCATTTCGATTTAAAATTTGTCGACCTACCTTGCGTTAGATGTAACACAAGTAATATTATAAGTGAAGTTTTGACTTACCATAACCCTGTTCCATGAGAAATTGTGAACACTGTTCCCATTGACGTTCTAATAATTGTTCGAGACTTTGTGGGATAGATAAATCTCCGTTAACACTACTGCCAAACAAAGTGACTAAGGGACTAGGTGCAGGATCGGTTGCTGCCGCAGAGACTGGTAATACTGGTGCCGCTAGCGTTGACGTATTACGCTAAAATAATTATTTATTACTCTATCTCTGTTTACAACTTACTTGCTTGCTTGCTTAAACTTACCATTTTACCGGGAACGGCACTCCCACATATTGCGGCGTTCATGACTCGGGCGTCTAAACACTATGATCTTGTATTTCCATGTTAAGTTGATCGCTAAGCTTTTATGCAACATGTGTGCGGCTAAGGTAATTGTTAAAGTGGGCATTGTGGCGTTTGAGGTGGCCAAGGTAATATCTGCGAGTATGGACGACGCACCATTTCCGAATTGGTTGCCATTTTGAAAAACTTTCAGATCTTTGTGCCTTCTTTCGTGCCTACCTTTGTGCCTACCTTTGTGTCTATCTTTGATTTGTATACAATTTCATATGTTTTTTTTTGAATTCGCTATTTTATGCTCAGAATGGTTTTTCGGCTTAAATGACACACATTTCAATATATTATACGTATAAACATGTATCTAATGATCTTGCATTTTCTATATTTATATCTGTTAGCATTCTCGAGCTTCCTATAAGCGAAGTCATATACTTGTATATTAACAGTTACGTCAACGTTCAAAGGTTTGTACATTGAATTTATGGTGGTTTTCGTTAGATGCGTACCTAACTGCCCTCTATGTTATACCTATTGGGTCATACACGAGATCTTGGACCGAGACGTTTGCTTGTGGACACACATTTTAATAAATTTCGTTATTTCATACATAGCCATATGCATAATGAGCTTATAAGCCCTATATTTATTTTCCCTGCTCGCAAGCGGGATCCTAGACTTGTTACTTTCACTTCATTATTAATAAGCTAGGGCTACTTTGTTGAACTGTTCTCTTTAATTAGGGATTAACATATCTTAATATTTATTTTGTTACAGACCCATAGTTTCAATGTATATGCATGTTGATAAATTTCACTGTCAGTGGTACATACTATGCATAAGCACATACCTAACAATCTTGTAGTTTAGACTTATTGTTGGCACACGTAAAAATCATATGCCTAGGGATTGCACATTGAGTTTTTTTTTTGGCACAGGCAATGATCTAGATTTTGTGATACCTACTCCTATTACTGAAGTACTACTTGCTAAGGCTAGCATATTAAATTGTCCTTGCTATTTAGGGATTAACGGCTGTACGTTATGAAAAAGTTTCCGTACATATATGACCACACGTTTTAGTTGTAGGCGATGAACATATACTAACACATACATCCGACAGCAATATAATATGGCGTACATAAGAGCATTATTATAACACTTGCCCAAGTAAACAATAAATTTTATAGCACATACATTGTATAATGCGTGCCAGCCAGTAACAGGCACAGACAGAGCAACTGTGTAACGAGATAGCGATGGTGATCGCTACTGTAAAAGAGCTTGTCATAACACGCTCAGTCTTCCATTTCTGTTACAGCGGCCAAAGAGCTAAGAGATCTCGGACAAAGGATCTCTTTGTGTTTGACTTTACCGACAGGCATTTTTTTTTACTTACGGATTGGAGATGGCAGGCTAAGCTTGGTCGTCATTCCTAAATAATAGATAGGTCTACTAGACTTTACGGACAGGGGATGGCAGGCTCAGCTTAGTCGTCATCCCCGCACAAAGGATTGGACTACTCTCTTCGATGACATTTCGAATGGTTAGGGACAATCAAGCAAATAGAATGCAGGACGAGTGCCCCTATTGGCCCAACGTTGGCTGCTATAACACCTCCTGCACATTTCTCGCAGAAGACGGTACGGACGACACGGGAAAAATAATATCGAAGGAAATAACTGAACAGTCGGGTCGCGAATCATCACGCTGGTTTTTCTTTCCCGCCTACACAAATCTCTGATCGCATATGGTATATTCTAATTGATAAATATTCAAATTCCTCCTAAACAATAAAAATATATTTTCAACGAAAAAACGAAGATCCAAGAATTTTTTAAATAAAGTTTCTTGGAAAGAACCTTCCTGTATAAGCCTGAGCATTCCGCGAATAAGAAGACGCGTTAAAAAAACTAGAGGTATTTATAAGTTCAATTAGTTCTTCCTCATTCAAAGTTTGTTCTTAAAATAGTTCCCGAACATCCTCAATAGTCATATTTGAAAATTCATCCCCTTCTAAATTAAAAGCAATCGATATTATTCTGTTAAACTCTGCTTCCTCACTTGACAAAGATTTCCAACACGCATGAAGTGTAGACTGTTTTAATTCTTTGTAAGCGAAAGCTATAATTACGACACAATCTAAAATAGAAATTCTTTCCAAGCTTGAGTAAGCGTGGCATTTTTATTGTTTCCAGTCTTTGGAAAATTTTTTATAATGCTAGTCGTATGTAGTATGCCTTGCTTGTGGCAATGATTCCTTGATCTAATAAAACATATACTGTCACTTCTCAAAATGAAATGAGAAATTTTTCTGTAGGAACAAGGTTGGGGATTTGTCTTACTAAACGCAATACAAAGAAAAATTCAAATTTCCAATGCTCAAATCGATTTTTTGAAATTGTGTTGTATTAAAACCGTGTTACAATTACTCTCAATTCTTGTGCAGTGTAATATCGAAACCGTGTTTTACAAGCACCGTGTCATACGAGGGAAGCTGTGCACTATATTTCTTCGGGTTATACATAAACGCGTTGTATACATATATATGTATATCTATATAAAATGCATTGAATTGTTAATTTACGTACGCTTATTAATACCTTATATATTAAAATGCTTATAAACGAGAACTTGTTTTTATTACATATAAACTAACCAAAATCTTAATAAATTTTCCTTTTGTTCACGCACTGATTAAATTTGGCTCTTTGCAATTTGATTTATTTAATTAATCTAACTACGTGCCCACATTATTATATATATTACATTGTAACCGATAAGAACAAATTATATTTATCTCTCTCTGCTTCTGATGTACCAATTATGTTTCCGCCCAATAGTAAAACAATACTTTCTATCTTACATTAAAATTTTACTTTTAAGAAATAATTGTAAATAAAAATCAGTCGCAGTTAAACAATTAATTTCGTAACGAATACGAATACGACTTTGCAACACAATCAATATACATACGGCTTATATATTCCTATACATATATTGCTTGACCAACTGTTAGGCTTATGTACGTTTTATTTATCATGATTACGCCAGAGGCAACAAAATATGCAGACCTTCCAACATTTTTTCCAAAGTTCAAATTAGGATTGCGTACCTGTCGTTAAAAGCAGTTAATTAGCGGCCATTTGATAGCTTGTTCTTACATTCCTATTATTTGTATGGACACGGATTCTGTTTTTTGATACGACGTCGCATTCTCTTAAATGTTTGCAATTCTGTGTTTAAGTGAACATACGCTATGCTATACATAAGTGCGCGTACGATGAAACCATATATATATACCATATATATATACGTACTTGGAAGCTATAAGCCGTTTTTTTCATCGTTCATGTTCGCCAAATGCTTTGACAAATTGCGATGAAAATTTTCATATCAAGAAATATGAAGAAATGATTTAATATAAAAAAAAACATATGTTTATTATATTTATTTTTATCTAACTTACTTATTTTATTTATATCAAGCCGATAGCCTTAGATGCTAGTGCTTTAAGAATTTAGTTTTAAAATTTATTTATCTGGCGAAATTAATAATAATAATATTAATAATAGGTATATATTTAGTAATTTTATTTACATATATATTTGACAAATTTTGTCCAATTTTCGATATCGCGCATGAGTTATTATACGTTACCTCTATTCACATTATATAATTATTATTACATTATTTATATAGGAGAATTAAACAGTTAAATAAATGAATAAAATATTAAAAACTGGTCCGTAATCCTTCGTTATGCAATTTGAATTGTTTTTTTATTTAGTTAGTGTACTCTAAATCGACGTACTTTAGGGCCAAGGCTTCCAAATGCTTTGTACGATAGGATCTTCAAGGTAACGCCAGTAAATGGCGTCTATACTGCGATTGTCCGTTTTAAACCAATGATTCATTTTCTCCATAACCTTACAAAAATTTAGATGTAGTTCAAAAATTTCATCTTCGTGGTTTTGTAACTACGTTGTCTCTGCGCTTTCATTTTGTATTGTACGAAAGTTTCGCACAGACTGCCTGTAAAATCTCGTTTGGTTATATGTTGGAGAGTACCTGGTAAGATGTGCCTGCTTCATCATCACAATCAATACTAAAGTCGTTTTCTTTTATGAAGGTATTGCCAAAGACGTCCTAACTTCTTAATTAGTCTTTCTTATTCCTTTTTTATTCTTCTTCGTATTATTATTCTTCGGGACTTCGTAATCTTTTTCCAATAGGTATATGTCCAGAAGTCATTTTTCACTCGTCACTTCCACTCGTAGCCCAGTTTAGAAACATATCATCGGCCTCTTTTTCTATTTCATACGTTCATGATGTTATTTTCTAACGAAGATTGCGATTGTCCGAAAAAGTTTGTCAACACCTTTCAAAGTTGGTGCTTGTCAATTTATTGAATGACGTGTAATAGGCATATATTCCGTTTTCGGTTTAATGACCAAATGCGTCCGTATTTCAATTTCTTTTTTTCTTCACGAAGTTATGTATTTTTTTCTTCTTTTCCTTTTGTAATTACAAGTAAAATTGTTTACCTTGCGGCAACTATTCATAAGGTTTTCTAAAGTTTTTTGCTTTAAAGAAAAATTCACACTGACTAAATTTACGATATTCATTATTAGCCTTACACGAAATATTTAAAAATACTTGGTACTAATTACGTCCACCGGCCCCTAAATTTCATTTCTATGATGAAAATTGATCCATAGAAGCAATTTGCTATAAGAACTAATGGTAGAAAGTTTGACTGCTTTTTAGATCACGCCATATATAGAGTTTCACATGAAAACTAAGCTCTTGGCGACAAGTGTCATATGTAGGCAGTTGACAGTTGAAGACAATTGAAAACTGAAGTGAGTTTACTTAATTCGGATCAAAAAAAATAAAAACTATGAGAAAAACTATGAAAACTATGAAAATAATGTATATTTTTTGATGTGTTGTCATGAAAGTGAATGAATAACTGTATTGGGTGAAGTGGTGTAGGGTAGTTAATCATCGTTAATGTTCGACTATAATGTTTTCACTTCATTCTTTTACTCGTTCCTCAGACTTTAATATCTTTACAATTTACATCAAATTCTCAAACGTAATTCGATGAAATTTCTTAGCATTTTTGCTTTATAATGAAAAATCAAACACAATTTCTCGACTTTATAAGGATTTCTATTTGAAATATCATACTCTTCGTAAAAAAAGCGGACGCAGTGCCTATGCATGTTTTCATTAACTTTAAGATGATTATGCGAGCAAACTTTCAGATCTTTGTTCGCTCACTATTTTTGCCTTTTGCTTAATAATAGCAAGCGAAATGCAAAAGTTGAATTTGATCGATATCGGGCATTGCCCATTACTCTGAAAGGCAGAAAGTGCTCGACAAACCACCTACACTAACATCCGTCGAACATTCTTCCCGAATATCAAAGAACCGCGCGTATTTAAAGAAAAAATGATCGGAATTTTTTTAACAACGCTTTATGCTTTATACGGCAGCTTATGCGTGCTTCGTGCTACTTATTTGTGAAAAGTACACCTTAAGGTACACATAAAAATTGTGCAGAGAGTGATTATATATATTATTGTTTAATATCAGTATTTACAGTTAGTTTTTTCTATTTTCTAACATATTAACCTATTATCCACATACGTCGATTACGATTTTGCACTAATATTCTTTCTCTTATGGACGATTTTTTCGGTTCCACATTTCGATTTTATTTGGTCATGCAATTAATGAAAAACCCAGCACATCTGTTATAAGAACGGTTGCAAGTAAAGTTTGCTACATGTTTACAAATTAAATGAAAAATAAATTTCATCACAAAATTAATTTTATGACAATACGGTCAGAGCAATATTTCGCAAAATTAATAAGTTATCTTGTCATTAGTAGCCGTCAACTTCTTACAATATCACCGATTCTCTCTGCAATCGAAAGGACAACGAAGAGTACACGAGTCATATGTGTCCGGTTGCGAGGGCAATAGCAAAGAAACTAACCTGTATTTGATAGGGTTTGGAAGGTATTATCACTAAAATTTTGCATTTTGAGGTCTGATTTGGTTTTGATTAACTAAAGGCGGAATCTTTCGAAGGCAACTTTAATGCCCTTTCGCTTTTGAAAAAAATAAATAGCATTAAAATTAAAATTGAATTAAAAACTAACGCCGACACTTACCTTCTTTTGTACGTGAATGGCTAAACTACCGGTTGTTCCAAGGCGCAAATTTCTTGGTTTCTCTATTATAAATTGACAAAAAATTATTGTGTTCGCTTTAGACCATATGTTTGATACCCACCACTGTAGGAATGAAAGACGGAACTCGTTTTGGTCCCACACTTAAGGTTAATATTAGGTTAAGAATAGCTGAATAGTAGGTTAAATAGATTAAGATCACAGGAAAGGGATCTTTGATCTCATACGAACATCGAAATGACTCCAAACGAGATCAGATAATAGGGTAATAGCGTCGCTGATTCGAGCTTGCTTGTGAATGATCGACTTCTGTTTTGTCTTTCTTTTGCCTTGGGCTTTCGACTTGCACAGGCGTGCGCTGTATTCCATACGTGAGCAACGGCATATTCAACGGATATAGTTAAGTAATATGAATCGTGTGGACAAAGTAGGTAAGACGTTAGAATATAAATGATGAATTATAACATAGAGCGAGTATTATTAATCGAATTTTCATTGAAAGGAAGTGGAAAACAGAACTTATTAGGGATTTACTATTAATCCATTTAGGAGAAGAGACCGACGTCTGAACAAAGAAATTTTCTTGTAAGGACTCTGGTATACTCACTGAGTGCACTCAACCCGGTGTAAGCCGGCGGTTTTTAACATCCTTACACCATTTTAACTGATCTAGGTAAACTATTGAGCGATTTTCTTAGTTTTTTATAATTGCACGATTATTTTTCAATTTGAATTGAGTTTTGTGGCAAATTTCTACGTTTTGTATCTAATCCGGGCAACGGGCTCTAATGCGAGGGGTTTATCGGCGTACCGCTGTTATTTTTAAATGTAACTAACTGTTATCAATCAATCAGATATAAAGTTCGGGTTTTTATAATGATCGAAAAACTTATTCACAGTGCCAATTGAGGCCTGTAGGTAGTGATGGTGGGTATTAAAAATTAGAGCAGAATTCTTTGCATTACTCAATTATCCTTACATAAATCCACACTCCCAATGGGAAGAAACATAGGCGCGTTAGCCAAATTAATACACCAGCTATCAGGGTTAAGCCAATGACATTAAAAATACCAATTAGCGTGAAAACGATGAAGAAAGCCCCGAAAATGACCAAGGCGGTTGGAATAGTTCTGACAACATTCTTGCGTTCATTTTGTTGTTTGCAATACTCAAAGATTTCATTGATGTCTTTTTCTAATCGCTGATCAAATCTCTCTGCCAATTTTGCGTCGCCCATTTTCGATTTCGAACGGAACTAGAATGTAGCATAGAAGACGCTTTAAAATTCTTTCGGGAATTAAAGTCATTTAAGCGGCAATTACCTGGCAAAGACACTTTTCTTTTAAAAACAAGTGCTTTGATTCTAGTTCGTCAGATCTTAAATAATGTGGACTAGCAGCGCAAAATATTTCCATTAGTTCTTGGTACTCTTCTTTTGCGGTGTTTGCTGCCGTCAGATGAGAGACTTCAGCAGTGACCTACGACAATAGAATGTAATTCAATCAAGCTGCTGAGAAGATCTAATTTTTTTGAATGAAATTACATTTAGAATACTTTCCGTTTCAGGTAACTCGCTTTTGTTAAAAACTCCTATGTACGATTTGAAATATTGTATTAAGTCCATGGCTCGAATCTTTTGACCACAGATTTCTTTAACTAACAAATTATTAGGGTCCATCAACAAACAAACGAAAACTTTAAGTTCTTGTCTAAATTCCATACTAATATCTTTGAGGCAACCATTGAATTCGGGATCTAAAATATTTAAACCCGGATGCGGCATTAAAAAACAAGATATCTCTTTGAAACACGGCAAGATGTGATTCTTGATTGATTGCAATTCAAAATCTTGTTTATCACACCATTTTAAACGTCTATTCAAAATTACTTTACCGCCGACCTCGCCCCAATCAGCGTCTTCCGACATATTCCAATCGCGTACTAGAAACTGTAAACGTTGGCAAGGTTTTGATCCAGTATTGTTTAAAGCAAGTCGACCAAATTCTGCGAACCATTGGAAATATTGTAAATCGTTTTCCCACAAGTTTTGCGACATATTGTATATTTGCACTGAAGATAGAATTGTACTGAGTGCCAATATGGTCGTAGATTCGTATGATAAATTCTTGCAATTCTTGCAACTTCTGATACCTTGTGTATCGAGAAAAATGATGGCGACTTTGTCACCATTTGGAATGTCTATGCAAAACACATCCGACCACATGTAGATGCCGTTCGTGTGCGGTGCATAGGCATGGTGGTCGTGTTGTTTGCCGTTGCACCAAGAAAACCCCGTTAAAGGTTGATCTTCGTCGCCTATCCAATGATCTGTCTCGTCACCGGCACACTGTTAATAAGATGATAAGACAAATCCGTCTTATAACTATACTGTTATGATTACCTTTGCGTACATATAACGCAGAAAAAAGTTTAATAAAAAACTTTTTCCCTCACGAGAACTGCCTACTATTGAGACCACACACACATATCGATCTTTAACGTCCTCGCGCATCAATAGTTTTTCAAGTTGCTGTTCATTCAAAGCAAACGTATTATCTTCTAATTTTGTGATTATTTGTAACGCCTTTCCGACCATTGCTTTAAGTTACTTTTCAAATTTTGGGCTTAACTGTAATTATGAATTGAAGTTTTTTTTTCGTCGTTTATTGAACTTAGTCGCATAAATTTCTGCCAAAATGCCCTCATTACCTTCTAGATGTTTTGCATTTCGCGGAATTTCCCCCTGATAATAATTCGTAGTCCTTCTCTATTATCTCAAAATTCTGACTATTTCTGTCAAAATATTATACTCTGTCCTGCTCGCCCTTTCCTGTATAGATAGCAACTTGAACAATTTTTGAAATTAAAAAAAAATACTTGCGTTAACAGAGGTGATAATTTTTAACAAATCCTATTTCCTAAAGCGAAACTGATATATGTAAGTAAAACAATCAGGACAATTGCAACCGAAGCTTTTTCTAAAACAAAAAGGTATGCCTCAGGGCTCGATCATTGGATCTTTGTTCTATGAACGATTTCTCTAATTTTTAATTTAGCTCGTGTAAGACCTCTATGCATTTACTGATGATTTGCAGATTTTATTTGCTGGGAACGTTGATAATTTCGAAGGATGTCTGCTTTGGTTACCATTTGGATTGCATCTCTGGTTGGATGGCTGTGAGTGAACATAAGGTGAAGAGGGCTAAAACATGTGCGATAACTTGTCGTCACCCGAATATACATCTGAATCTTGCTCTAAGGGTAAATGAAGCGGATGTTCAAATTTTAAACAGCTTGCAAGGGTGATTATCGATGCTAAGTCAATTTCTTACTTAGAAAGTTTTGTTCCTTGAATGTGAGAGCTTTAGTTATGCCACTTACACTTTATGTCTTACAGGTTTATAGTTCCACGAATACTTCAAACCTGAAGAAATTGAGACTATGTATATATTCTTTATTAGGCGGTGTGACCATATCTCAGGCTATATTCAACTTTTTCTAGGTTGTGTTATTAATTTTGGACTTTTGCTTAGCCTTTAAAACATTTCAGAGAGTTCGCAATAATTATTTATGAATTCCTCGAGTTATGTGCTCTTTGGCCAAGCTCTTACTTTAGACGCTCTTATCTCACTTACAAACGTGAGCTCTTCGCCGCCAATTATGAGATTGGCTTGCTAATTAGTATTGGGACGAGAAGGTGGGTGAAATATGAGCCTTGCCTACTAGCCAATTACATTCTTTTTTTTCTTTCTTTCTTTGTTACCATCAATTTCCTCATCTGTTCTTGTAGATTATTTAAGAACATTTTCGATTTTTGTACGCTGATATTGCATCCACGGTAGAAATCATAATCTATCACAAAAAATGGAAATTTTTAGTATTATATTCGTAGATTCGACCACTTTCTCGTATTTTTATGCAGATGCTCTAGGTTCATACTTCAAAAATATGGGTGGAAATTTTTGTCATTATATATATTGTAGAATATGATCACTAAGCAAAAAGACAATTTATTGACTTTTTAAGGCAGAGTACTTCTCAGTCTAAGTTATACTGGAAGCGGGCCCATTGGTCCATTCAACTCGTTTTCAATGCCAAACTGCTTGCAAGAGTTTGTCATGTTTTCGTTAAACTTGACATCTAAATTTTTGCGATTGGAAAAATGTGTACCCTACAAATCCATAAAATTAATATTTTACACTGATCAAGAATATATACACAGCATCCTTCTTCGCGGTGCAAACATTTTCATAAAAAAATTAAATTCAAATATTCTAGAATATTGCGTGGGCGTGGCCGATTGGTTCTGTGCAGTACTCTACGGGGTTATTTATAGAAGGTATGTGCAAATCTTTATAACTCTTTCCGCTATATTCTTCAAACATAAGAAGCGGTTAAAAGACGCAAACCTATTCTCTTGCATGGCAACGCTCCGCCATAGCTCAAATTGGAAATTCTGCTCCACCCAGCATACTCACCACACATCACGTCTTCTAATTACCGCTTATTCTGATCGACGCGGCATTGCTGCGATTTCGAAATGCTGAAGAAGCGGATCATTGCGAAACCAAAATCGAAGACAACTTGTAAGACTACATTAAAAAAGGGGCTAACATAATAAAAGAAAATTATGAAAACTAGAACTTTATAGTAGAGCGAGGGCGGGAATTAGATATGCTTCATCATTTTGCCTCTTACGCTCATTCAATACACCAAAATTCAGGCACCATTTTTACGTAGAGGCTTACTTTTTATGCTTAAAGCTTCAACCGACACGATCCAAATTTAGCACATAATTACTTGTTAAAGACAGTAAGACCAATTTTCACTATAAAATAATAATCCTTAACCTCTTTTGCCACAAATTTTAGTCTTCATGAGAACCCTTATATCAAATGGCGTCTAGAAATTAATGCATTTGATTCAAATTTGGTTTAGTCAAATTGAATAGTTCTGGAGAGGGAAGCGCGAAAAATCAATCATTGTCAGAAAATATTCAAATCATGAGTGATATGGAAAAGTGCACAAAAAAATTGTGAAAAATCATTTCATCAATATAATCTTTAGTATCTCTAATGGTCTAAATAAATCCATGGGTATGTGTCTTAAAAGAAGAGGAATTCAGCTAATATTAGGCGGAACACAAACAAATTCAAGCGGTTTCTAACCCAACATAAGGGAGAAAGATTCTTTAGAAAAAGATAGAAAAGGTCTCAAATGTACATATAATTTATAGATTCTCTAGTGTGCTTCGGATTACGAAAATCTGATAAAATAGATTTTACATCTTGTCATATGGAGAAACCAAATAATGTTCAATTGTCGTTCAATGTGTTTTATGTATTAAGCGCCATTTTTTTTTTCTCCCTTTCTTAGCTGATTAGCAAAGCTTTCCATGATTCCATTGATGTTTAATATTAGCTGCCGCACTTAGACCTGTAATAAAAAGTAAATGATTTTCTCTACATCATTCTATCGGCGAAAAAGATAACTTACTAGTCAAGCATAAAGCTGCAACTCCAACAGAAGAAAATCAACACAAAATAGATCCCAATGAGAGGGCTAGGAGGTCTTAGAAGTATTAACATCAAAATCGTGTGTAGAACTTGTTTTCAAAGTACATTTTGACTTCAAATAAAATGAGTCGCTTACAAAAAAGGGGATTAAAATTGTAAAGATGTATGATTTAAAATTTACCTTATCTCACAAATTGCTTGTTAAACTATTAGTTATGCTGCAAAACGGTGCAAATTTCATGATTATCCTATAAAAAACAAATAAGGAAATATTATTATTATTATTATTATTATTATTAATTTAGCCAGAGACTAAATTCAAAGACTCAAGTCTTAAAGAACCTGCGTCTAAGGTTATCGGCTTTATTGAAAACTCTGCCGCACTTGAGATTTAAACCCATCGTCATTGTCGAGACTCTTTGAAAATTCTGCCGCACTTGAGATTTAAACCCATCGCCATTGTCGAGACTCTTTGGAAATAATTATAATGCCTTTGTTGCAAGTCTGCGCATTATTACATCACCATTATTATCATATCACCATTGGGCAAATATTTTATGGACTATGAGTTTTCTCGTCCGCGAGCAAAGTTGATTTTAAAAAACGCGTTATTAGTCTACTGTTCTGATTTTGTTTCTTTTTCTCTACCCTCTACAATGTTCTTTCCTACAATGACCTTTCAAGGAGAAGTGTAATGACCAGGTCTGGTAGCAGGCACAAAGTTTAGTGACTAGACTAGGTAACAGCCATTAACCAAAAAGTTTAATAACCAAATCTTTGCAGTATAAAAGTTTGATATGAATTAGCGCTTTTTTTCTAGTATTGGTGCGTTTGTAGGCATCTTAAAATTTGAACTCGGATTTTACTTCTCATAATTGTTTGCATCAACAGCCCAATCAATATATACTTCTGACTTTTCCTTCTTCTTCTTCTTGGCTGTTAAGGGCACATCATGTCCATTTTTAAGCTTGACTTGCGAACATTATGTAACAATACATATGCCGAATTTAAGCGTTTTATCTCACTTTTCATGACCGTGGGAGCTTGTTAATAGGAGATTGCATATACACGAACGGAGACAGAATCAATGTTTTACACTAGCTAAAAATATATTTTATGATACAAATTTTGATTCTCCGAACTTAATATGTCCTCGTCGTTCTTCGATGATAGTTATGAAAGCGATAAATTGATTTTCTGTTTAATTACCTTTGCATAAACCCACAATCCCAACGGGAATAGAGAGACACGCGTCAACCAAATTAATAGGTCAGCAAATATCCGTAATCCAATTACACTAAAGAGACCAATTAATGTGAAGACGATAAAGAAAGCGGCAGGAATGAGAAGGGTTGCTGGAACCGCTTTAAAAACGCTTCTAACTTCATTTTGCTTTTTACAACCCTCGAAGATTTTATTGATGTCTTCTTCTAACTGCATAATGAATTTCTCAGTTAATTCCTCGTCGCCCATTTTGGATTTAGAACGAAACTATGATGTGTCAGAGGACATGTTTTTAATTAAATAGTCTTCTGCGGATTAAAATCATTCTGGAGCCAATTACCTGACAGAGACACTTTTCTTTCAAAAACAAATGTTTGGATTCCAAATCGTCGGCGGTTAAACAATTTCGGCTAGCGTTGCAAAACATTTCCATTAGCTCACGATACTCCTTTTTGGCAGCGTATGCTGCCGTCAAAAGATTGACTTCAGCCGTAACCTGCAAAAATGGGAAACAATTTCTTTTTGAAGACAATGTTAAGAGCTATTTTAGGACATTAACTAACATTTAAAACACTTTTCGTTTTAGGTAACTCTTTTCTATTAAAAACCACTACGTACGATCGAATATAGTGAACTAATTCCTTCGCTTGAACTTTTTGACCGCAGATTCGTTTAACTGTTAAATTTTGAGGTTCCAGCAGCAAAGGTGCGAGGACTTTTAATTCATGTTTGAATTCCCTACCAATATCCTTAAGACGTCCATCGAAATTGGGATTTGCAAAAATGTTGAGGCCAGGATGCGGCATTAAAAAGCAAGATATATCTTTGAAACATGATGAGATATGATATTTAACTGATTGCGCTTCAAAATTCTGCGTATCACACTCTTTTAAGCGCCTATTTAAAACAATTTTGCCGCCTTTCTCTCCGCAAGGAGCATCATTCACTTTACTCCAATCGCGTATCAGAAACTGTAGATGTTGACATGGTTTCAATCCGGTGTCAGCCAGTGCAAGCCGACCAAATTCTGCAAACCATTGCAGATATTGTAAATCGTTCTCCCATAAATTTTGCGACAAATTGAATATTTGCACTGAAGATATCATTGCACTGAGCGCTAATATGGTTGTACACTCTCGCGATAGCTTCTTGCAATTTTTAATGCCTTGTGTATCCAAGAAAACGACAGCGACTTTATCACCGTTCGGAATATCTACGCAAAATATGTCGGACCACATGAGAATACCGCTTGTGTGAGCCTCGGAATCATGAGAGTGATGTTTTTGGCTACTGCACCAAGAAAACCCCGTTAACGGTAAATTTTCGTCGCCTAACCAATCATCTATTTCGTGACCAGTATACTGTTAACAACAAAATGTGATAACTGGCTTAAGGTATTAATATTAATGCACTTACCTTCGCGTACATATAACGCAGAAAGAAATTTAACAGAAAACTTTTTCCTTCCCGAGAACCACCAGCAATTGATACCACGCACACGTACCGATCTTTAATATCTTCACGCATCAGCAGCTTTTCGAGTTGCTTTTCATTTAAGACAAACGCATTATCGTCTAATTTGGTGATCATTTGTAATGCTTTTCCGACCATTGCTTTAAGTAACTTTTAAAATTTTTCTATTTAACCTCACTTAAGAATTTATATTTTTCTTTTTGTTGTTGCTCTTAATCCGATTTACATAAACCTCCGCCAAAATGCTGTTTCGCTGTAATTACTTATTACTTTCTAGAAATTTTGCATTCTCCGAATTTATTTTTACTCTAATATGAAAAAATAGTAAATGTTATGAATGCCGAGAAAACGTTACAATATTTTTGAAATGTTTCTGAAATTAAATTAAGTAAGAAAATTAAATTCGTTCGAGACCGAATCTTTTATACCCATCACCGTTCTCCTAAAAAAGGCAAGGAAAAGTAAAAGAACAAAATTTTCATGGAGTGGGCGCAGCTGCTTTTTTCTATTTTCAAAATAAAAGTTTTTGACGTAGAGCCACATGAGCGTTGTAGGAGCGTTTGTTGAAAAGTTTAGGTCAATTCAAAATACTTTTGCAAACCTATAGGCGATATCTTCATTTTCGCTCACGGGAGAATGTGTGCCACAAATACAACGATGTGAACAGACGAATAGGCAGACATGTTTAGGCGCGCTCCAAATTCGGAATTGCACATGAAATGATATTTCTTGAAGGGTTTTTGAAGCTTGTTTCTGCTTTGATTCACTATAATGGTAGGTGTGGCCAATTTTTTCCATTTTTGTGCATGAACGCTACGGCATCGCCCATAGAGTATGCGTTTAAATTTTTGTTCATTTATATGCTGTAGCTTATGAGAAAAGCAAAAAACCAATTTTTGATTGCTTTTAAAAAACAGAGTTGTGTTGCGACGATGAGAATGCGTCTCTTAATCACTATTGCTGGTCTTTTCTGCAACAGTATATCGTTCAGTTTACTCAATTGACGTCGATAGATATCTGCGCGAACAGTTTCGTTTTTAGCAGATCGTGGTACGACACTTTGCTCATCCCACCAGACGGACAGCAAGATTTTATAGCCCTGAAAATGACTCATGACTTTTTGCGCTGATGATTGCCGTAGTAGAACCATTTTTCGCCGCGAGTCACAATCCTACATGGGAAACGATTATTTTATGTAGAGAAAGAAGTTTAACCGTTGTGTACATTGATTTCCGCATTACTTTATTATTTTCATACATTAGCTGCTTATTTGCTTTTCATTTTCAAATTAAATTAATTATTTTAAATTAACCATTAATTATCATTTTTCATATCTTTGAAAGTAGACTTGGATTGCTCTTTTATTCTACTTAGTTGCGAATTCTTGTTCCATATTTAGGTTTCCTGAATTTGCCATCCCAAGTCGATATTAGCCCAATTGACATCATGTGTCGATTTGATGAACCCATACCGAGAGTAAAGCATGCAAAGGCAACGAAATCCTTTCATTTGGGCATCACGTTGTTACATGGTATTCCGAACTACTGCTGCTAGTGTCTAATTTCATATGTACCAATATTTGGACATAAGACAAGTACACATATCATAAGCAGATAAATAATTTCGTAATATATTTATGAAGGCCAAGGCATAAAGTTGACAATCTTTTAGTTTGGGAGGTAGGCGCGTAATACTCTACTCAATCATTTGAATGCTGGCTAACACCCTTCTGACTGAGAGTAACTAAAGTTGATATGCGTAATGCTTTGACTGCGTGCAGCATGAAATTGACCACCGTTTCCATTCTCCATTCCACATTTGAATGGAACGAAGAGCAAAACGCGAATTACTTATGCAAATAATAATCCGAATAGTTTATACAACAAATTTTTTTAAACACATCAAATCTCGAAGCGTTTAGAAAGAACCGATATCTTGCACATTAGAAATCTTAAGTGCCATAATCATTTATGCTTTACTATACAAAGGTGTCTCGGATAAAATTTATGTTCCACCTTTTATTTCTTACTCGAATTTCATTTTTCCTATTTTGATTGAATGGTTTAACGCTGTTTGGTGTTTATTTTTGTCGGAATGTTATTAACATATGTGATGGATACTTTTTCATCGCGCAACCGTCACTTGCTGAATTCCTGAGAGCTGTATTACGCATCGAATTTCTGAGATATTTCGTCCGATGATGCTCCCCCGCGTGCAGAGGTATCAAGCACATCGGGTGGCGGCTACTAACTTAAAGGTATCATTTATACCAACCCATTTTAGGCGAATTTCAATTATATTCTGATAAAAAACCAACGCATCTCGCATCTTTTTATGCGCGGAAAAAAGCTAAAATACGAGAGATATACGACGAAGGGAATTGTGTAAACGAAAATGTGCATTGTATTCATTAATTTTGACTTTTAAAATTCTTTTTTTTCTCGACGGTATTGATTTTCGTCAGGTGAACGCGGCTCATTCGAACTTGCCGAGACGCACAAAGATCGGAGCAAATCTTTAAATTGTGTAACCAATATTTTCAATACATTAATTTTCAAGGCCATTACTAATTATTTTGACAACATTTGCGAGAACACTATGCTTGAGTTGCGAAATAAACTTGCAATGCTGCTAAATTCTCGCACTGCACAATACTCTATTAGTGTGAACAGCGGAACGAACTTGACCGCATGCTTCTGCCTTCTATTAAAGTCACAGTCATGATCCCGCAACATTACGCGGAAAAGCATATTTAGTCCCAAGTTGTTTGTTATCAAATTTACTTGATTCGAAACTGAATCAATTCAAGCAGTGAGTACACACAAAGCTGCGTAAACTATTACAAAGTTTCTCCTGTATTCTATTATTATTATTATTATTATTTTAATTTTAGACTAACGAATTGAATTCTTAGACTAAAAAAAGAGACATTGTATTCTAAGTTAATTATAAATATATATATAAAATATACATTTAGTTTGCACCTTTAGCTTAGATCTTAAATTTCTCTGCACAAGATCTTGTTTTCAAGCTGTCAAATGCTTATCAAAATGCTTTCAAGAGTTTTGTAGGTGCAACTTTTAGTTCATAAAATTATATCAATATATTGAGAAATCGTAAAACATTACATTTCAAAATATGGATAATGCGACCTAGTGTAGTAAGCTTAGTGTTCAGTTCAACTTTTCTAATGCAGCTTGTAAGCTAATTTTTTCGTACCCCCGTGATAGATCGCAAGTTGTGGATCTCAAGGAGGCCAAATCTAGTTGACGGCCTTTGTTTGGTAGGGTTGAGTTCCATTTATGGATAGATTCTGATATCTGCGAGGTTCCTCTGTATGCGGATGACGTGGTTTTATTGTTTAATGTCGATCACCCTTGAGCGACGGCTGTCTGGGATGCGTGTCGCTGTGGACCTCTGAAAATCGACTTAGTTCTTAAATCCTCCTCAAAGCGATTATGTTTAGTTCTGTTGCCAGTTTTTCCCCTGCCTTGGGATTTTACCTAGGAAGTGCTGAGATTGAATGTGGTTCGTGTTATATATGTGCCGGTGTGTTGATATCTACAAAAAAAAGATATTGTGGTTACTGAATTTTATATGTAAAGATGGCCACAACTTACCATTATGACTACGACCTTCGAATTCTGCTCCATGTTTTTTTTTAAATCTAAAATGAAATTTTAATTATCTTTACTTTGCGGTTTTTTTCGCATGATTTTCCGTAATTTGCATCGTCGGTGGACCCTTTTAATTTAAACTAAAAAATGAGCACGTAAGTAATTTAATAATATGTTTGTATAATGTTTCAATTACCTTAGAATGCAGACACGTTCCAATCAACTGGCTGCCTGAAGTTTCTGCCTGTCAGCAGAATAAACAGCAGGAATACTAGTAAATTAATTCGGTGCATCACGCCGCTACTGCAGGATCCAGCTGTCCTGAAAAAGGCAAGCCGTGCCACCAATATTGCCTGCACGGGCTGGTGGTTCCACCATGTGCTGGTCCATTGCTGCGCGAAACACATCATAAGCTACATCCACATCTGGTTTCGGGAACGTCGGCTGCTGGTGAGTGTTCAATTATTTCCTTTGCAACTTTTCGACCCAACACCTCCTCGCAAAAATCGTCCTCCTCTTCCGTCATGTCACGCAAGCAGTGAAGGCAATTCAGCTGCTCAAGGATGTAGCGCGCTATTCCAAATGCCGTGAGCAACCGCGGGTATCTCGTTTCGTGGTACTTAAACTCCAACTTGTGCTGGTCTGTAAACACCTCCCCATCGAGCCCGAATGGTGCGAACTCTTCTTCAGGTCCTTCTTCCGTATTGTAATTGATCTCGTTGATGAAGACGTAATCGTCGGTTGTTCTTAGGCCTTTTTTATACCGGAACAACTGCAGGTTCCTTAGACGATTGCACAATTGTACCGATCTCCACAGCCGATCTGATCGTGTTCCTTTTTGTCAAACATATTTTTAGCAAGAACGCCTTAAGTAGGTCCTGGCTTACCCTGTATGAAGCGAAAGTTGCGCCAGGATAAGCCTTCACCACATCGTCCATCAAGCAAGTGAAATTTTTAATCGTCACATCTTTTGCAACACCTAGGGCGTCCTTCGCAAAAACTCTCATGAAGCAGTCGCTACCTTCTTGCAGTTCGCCTTTGAGCTCCTACCAATTTTTTTCCGATGTGGAGCTCCGATGAAAGATATTCACGACCTTTGCCATCATCGTGAAGATCTCGCAGGTACGCTTGGCAATCTCGGGATAATTCATAAACACATCTTAATTAATAGCCGCTTGTAGCGACGCTAGCGTCGCGTCGTTGGAAAATTGTACCAGCTCATTTGCGTAGAGCAGTGCTGCGACCGATTAAACGGCGCCTCTTCGGGCCCACAATGGAGAAGTGGGGCGACCCTTTTGTAAAATTTTCCAATTATCGTATGGTCTTGATGTTTTTTGCTGCTTTCAATTTTTGCTTTGTATCTATTCAGGAGGTAGGTGAAGGTGAAGATACTTATCAAGGTCTTCATACTTATGTAGTTATAATTGGATTACGATTGATGGCAAAAGATAAAGAAAAATTAACAAACGAACATTTTTATACACAATCTGTAACAGGTCGAACGTAAAGTAAGTAACTAGGTAAAATAATGACCAACTACAAAGACTTCAAATTTGGCAGAAATGTTGGAAGTTCTTGCATGGAAGCTAGTGTTGAAGATGAACCAAATCAGACGAAGGACACTAAAACTTGACTAAGAATAACTCTGTTCTCCAAAAGCAATAGAAAATTGCCCTTTTGTCCACTACTCATTAAGTACAGCAGATAAATGTACAAAAATCTTAACGCAGATTTTTTGAGGCGATGCTGTAGCACCTTTGCCAAAAAAGGAAAATCTGACCCCGCCTACCCACTGTTATAGTTTATAGAATTTTAATATATTTTTAAACATTTTTCTTATAACGCGAAAAAATAAGCTTCAAAAACCCAACAAAGTGTTTAAATTTTTGCTCAGTTTCAAATTCGAGATGCACCGAAGCATGTCCTCCCGTTTGGTTGCCTGTCTGCCCAACTGTATATTATCAGTGATAAATATTCTCCCGTAGGCGAAAATTAAGGTACTAACGTAGCTGAGGTACCAACTGTGCTATTTTTTTTAAATTTCCCTTTAGAAGCACTAATGTATTAAGTAGTTATTAAATAAAACACAAATGAGGTAGAGTATACCCATATCTTATATTAGCATACGGTTGCTTCATATGTTCATATACCTCATATTTTTGTTTTATTTTTCACCAAAAAAATCGAGTTTTTTTTTTTTCTTTTCGAAAAATTGACATGTCAATTCACACTCAAAAAAAACTCACTCCCCAAAAAAATCTTTTTTTTTCTTTTTTCCTTCCTTCAAAAAAAGCATCGCCTATTTGCTTTTCTACACTATCTTAACTTGTCGTACACAAACTTGTAATAGATTCGGCCAAAGTCGAATATATCCTCCTTCTTACATCGTTACGTACGGAAAAACTTTGTGGCGTTTTTCACAAAGTGGCACTTTTCTATTTTAAATCAACTTTAACTGATAAAATTATTATTTAAACTATTACGGAGCGCAAACTGAAGCCAGCGATTTCCGTCTTTAGGAGAATGTAAGCTTTATTGACCAGTGTGACATTTGACATTTTTTTACTTGAAATTTTATGAGACGAAAAGAGAGACGAATTGAATTTCCGAAATTTGCCTATGCAGGTGGTGAAAGAAAAATATATTTTGCTAGAATTGTTGAAAAGAAAAGCAAAATGTAATATTGCTTTACTAATTAATATTTTGAAATCCAAATTGTTTTTTTCATTTGGATGGGAAATTAAACATTGAAGTTTTTTTTCCTGTAATTACCAATACACCCGACTATAAATTATTATTATGCAATAAAGGCAAAATAATAAAAGATTTAAATTCTCACCTTTCGCTTTTATTATACTTATTCAAATTGTGAACTTAAAGAAACAGTCTGTTCACCATGTCAGAAAATCAACTAATTTCCCAACTCCCCTGCTTCCCCTGTTCCTACATCTGTTGTGTCAGTTCCTTGGGGGTTGTCACAAATCGATAATTAAATTTTACATTGCTTCTGTCTGAATATTGCTGAGAACTATTGTAACATTCATGTTATAATATTTTAAAAGTATTCTTGTCGATTAGGTGTAAGTCTCATTGCAAGTGCGCATTCTGTCAAATTTAATTTTTTCCTTACTCAATACTCAATTGTCTAATTAATTCAATTGTTTTATTTTTTTCAGAATAAATATTTAATTGATTAATTACTTAAAATTCTAACAGTATTGCATCATCTTTAAATAATCACATAAATGGTAAATTAGTCCGGGGAAAGACATTATGATTGGCTAGAAACAGGACATCAAAATAGAAATTATTCAATTATAAAAAATTTTCTTTGTAAGTAAACGCACGCGAATTAAAATAATTATACCGGACAGCAGCAAAGATGTAACTGATGGATCAATTCCACGCAGTCTAGCTAGTTGATAGACACAAAAAAATACTATTTATCCAAGTATTTATTTCTTTTTGGTGATATGTTACAATTCTGGAGCCATTGTCCCAATTGCTAGTTCCCTCGTTATTTGCTATACTTAGTAAGCACCAAAGTCGGTCCCTTGCCCCCTATGGAACACAAATTCTCATAGGCTCACTCCCGGCTTCGCCACCAACCATGTAAAGTTTTATTTCATTTAGTCTTTAAAAATATCATGATAGAAATTTTATATCAGTGATCGTGTCCTAATTCATGGGATACCAAAATGTCCATTTTCTTTTTGCTTCCAAGCTTAAATGAAAAATTGCACAAAATACGCTGAACATATGTGAATGCATGAACACTATATTTTTTATCGAAATTATGAAAAATTTTTTCATATCATTATAAAAAATTTTCATCGAAGCATTTAGCGGGAAAAAAAAATGTTAAACTTTTTACTATAAAAAACAATGAAACGAAAACACGTTATATATGCTAGATAAATTTTAGTTTTTTCCCCTCGTATACGCTTACATAGATATCATAACGCATATTCACGTTAAAATATCGAATTGTATATGCTTATATCGTGCAAACGTTTGATGCAATATATGAAGAAATTATTAGCACAATCTTTGTTTACACACATAATAAAAATGATAGGACGAGCAGTTAATTTGTCATTAATTAGTGCCGCTACTAATCTTATAGATAATAGAAACAACAAAAGTCGCTGAGGTGTTACTACTGCTAATTATCAATTGATTTTCCGATATGCGACATAACAACTTTATTGCAGGAATATTGCTAACGAAATTTTTCATAACGACCACTATTCCGTCAAAATATTATTTATATAAATTATCTGGCGACATTTTTGCACTAACATAAAATTATTATTCTTAAGCCCAAAATTGCTTCAATTCTATCTTGTTAATAGGATGTTTTAATTCTTTCTTGTTAATTGGCAGCGAATTATCCACAACTCTTGTGCAGAGAGTAAATTATTATGGTCTTTTTCGATTTTTTGATCTTATTACTCTTATTCAATAGCTGCTCCAACAATGCCGTAATTTGATAACCTAAAGTTTTACGTTCGCGCTGTAACTATTATTTCCGGATATAGTAATTGGTTATTCGGGACATGAGCTAGGAGCCGAAATATCGAAAGCTGGGGTGTTCACACTCTAAATATCATCAAGGAAATGCGGGGACGCAGCCTACAATCAGTAATCATACAACGACGACTATTAAGCCTAATTCCAATGAAGAGATCCAAAAGAAGACTGTGTTTCATTTTAACACAAATCGCTCGTGGCAGTATGATGTTACTTTACTAGAAATATACATGATCTTATAGAATAAAGCGAATGTTAAAAATTTTTACATGCCTACACCTCTGTCTCTCAAAAGGAATAAAAAATTATTTTGCGATCATTACTCTTAAACTATTCGCTATAACTGATTTATTGATCAAGATGAGAACTAAAGTATCTACATCTAGATGTGAATGTATTTAATGAAAGACATTTACCACGTATAGATTTCTATACTTAAGTAAAACTCTGCATCAAATATTGCAATCTTAATTTTGGAGCAGCTGATTTTTAATGATTTATTTATTTTATTTTACAAGTTAGCTTAGAATTAAACCGTCATAATTTTTAAACAACACTCTCGCTAAATTCCCTGTTGAAAGGCAAGGCACAAAGTCGCTTATAATAAATAAATGTTTAAAAGCCCAACTTAACAACTTAAATGTTAACGCCAATCAGCAATGTTAAACGCGCAACTTAACAGACAAAAGGGATTCAATTACAGAATTTTACAGAAAATAACGGACCAAAAAAGCAAAAGCCGTCGGCACATGCAACTTTTTGTTAATAAATGTATGTTTTCATATAAAATTTCTTAATTTCTTTCATTTTACATTATTACATTACTATTATTCTACTCCTGCTTGGCTTGGTTGATGTAATGATGCGTTGCTAGGGGTGAGTATAATATTTAAATTATAATTTTTCATAAAAGCCGCGAAAAATTTAGTTTATAAATGTTTATATTATTTTTCTGTTGTGTTTATATTTATATTATGAACAAATAACTTGAAAATTTTATAAAATTTACAATTTGAATGTCTTGCCCCGACGTGGGAATATAAACGAAGCTTCATTATGCCAGCCCCCTATTCATTGTTGCCACGATTCACAGAAAAGTGCACGATAGTAGGAATTGTTAAACCGTTTGCTGAGCGCATTACTTCATAACACTTCCTTCTAACTATTTACTTATGGTAGCACTGATAATTTCCGCCTGCAATCCTTTTCCATAAAATTTTTCATTATGGTAAGTGGGCTACAGCAAATGTTTTGTGTAAAATGTAATTAAAGTAAAGCTGGAATTTGGTGTAATAGTGCGTCGCACGAAAAAAAGTTAGCTAAGCCGAATAAAAAATAAAAAATAATGGAAGCTTTACAGAAAATCTTGTATTACTTTGCACGCTATGACATGTGAGCTCTGCGGTGAAAGAAAAGCAAGCACGATTTTGTATAAGAAATTAATTTTATAATTAAATTTTTCTTGGTTTATTTTTTTTTTAGCCACCAAAGAAGGACTCTAAATCCTCTGCCAAACAACCGCAGAAAACACAAAAGAAAAAAGAAGGTAGCAGCGGCGGCAAGGCTAAGAAAAAGAAGTGGTCCAAAGGCAAAGTGCGTGACAAATTGAACAATCAAGTTCTTTTCGACAAGGTCACTTACGAGAAATTGATAAGGGAGGTGCCAATATATAAATTAATAACGCCTTCAGTGGTATCAGAACGTTTGAAAATCCGTGGTTCTTTGGCTAAGCGTGCTTTGATCGAGTTGCGCGAAAAAGGTCTGATTTCTTTCCGAATTAATATATTTTTTATTTCATGTTTATTCTTTTTTAAAGGTTTAATTAGGCAAGTTGTTCAACATGCTTCTCAAGTAATTTATACACGTGTAACCAAGGGTGATGATGCGTAGTTAAATTACATTTATGCGAGACATTTTTATGTAAAAATAGTTTTGTATATTAAATGGTTTGTCTGAGTTAGGAAGACAAAAGAGACTTGTTTTCCTTAAACGTAGACGAGGTATATGTTATTGAATTGTATAGCAGGCGATCGAATGGTCCTTATTAATTTTACAGCTTCCTATGATTTTAATTGAGGTAATGGTGAACATGTTCATGTTCCATTGCATCATACTGCCACGAGCGATTTGTGTTAAAATGAAACACAGTCTTCTTTTGGATCTCTTCATTGGAAGTAGGCTTAATAGTCGTCGTTGTACGATTACTGATTGTAGGCTGCGTCCCCGCATTTCCTTGATGATACTTACAGTGTGAACGCTCGTTGATTCTACTCATTTGTGCATTATGTTCTGGAAGCTCGTTTTAACAGGAGACAATAAACATTTGCAGGAAACCTTTAAAAAGGTCTTTAATTTTGTTCTTCATGGCAAAGTTTAACGCCTAACTTGTTGTTATTATTGCAAAGGGTTTGACGTGGTTGTTATAATAATTTGCATATGATAAAAGCAAGCATATTAGTCCAAAAAAAATTCAATTCAACCACCTCACGAGACACGCTATAATTTGATGAATCTGCTGCCGAGCCCATCAACACTTTCGGATAGTACACTTTTCAGCAAGTTCTGTGTGCATCGGTAAAATGGCTTTAATTTCTCGCTAAAAGCCGTTTGCTGGTTTTTGCTTTACATGGTTTATAAAAAAAGCAACTTGTCTTCAGAGTAGAGAGACCACGGTTGCTTGCAATAAATGGCGAAGCTTTGAATAAATAAAAGAATACGAAATAATCAAAATTGGAAAATTGCGCTCCGCTCTCTGTTAAACATTAAAAGTCCGATATGTTTAGAACTAGAAAAAAATCGCAAGACTGAAAACATAGCGAACATACATTGTTCAACTTTTGAAACGAAGCAATCTTCGAATCGTATTATGCAAACGGCTGTTGTGATGGCATGCTCTTTTATTGGCCATGAAATAGATTTGAATCTCAGCTACATTTTTGCCCTTTAGCGGACGTGGTAGTAATGATCTATTTATCATAAGGAGATTTAACACACTCTAAAAGTATGACCAATTACTAAAAAGTCGTGTGTTTTTGCAAAATCCAAGGCCAAACCAATAATTAAGCCAAATTTAAACGTAACGCCCCGTCTGCTCCATTCAGAACATGATTTAGTCAAGTACGGTAAAACATTCTAAGGTACGATAGAAAAAACACCGTTAGGTAGATTGCGTTTTATACGATAAAGTTACATTTTGCTACCGTCAAAGGGGTGCGCTGAATCATTGGGTCCAACAAAATGCAGCAAAATAAATAAAATGTTGCTTCTGCATGGTATCAAAAAAATCATCAGAAAATGTGTTGATATTCATTATAACTCCTACTGCCGAGAAGTCTAAGTAGAATTGTATATGTGTTGTCAATACGAATCTAATTACATACTAAGGTTGGGTAAGCATAGAGATTACATTAGACATGTGATTAAATTACTTTTTCTTTTTTTAATTAATTGCTTACCCAAATCATGATATCGTCTCCTGTTGACTTGCAGGCTAACAGAAGAAGAAGAGGAGTTAATTTATCTCTGTCAAACAACGCGTATGTCATTGAAAATATGAAACAAGAAAACGAGTTTTTAAAATTTAAATTCAAAAAGTTTTAGTAGGTGCTAATTGTACAAACTTTTAGGTTCTAAAAACGACAAGCTTCAAACATAAAGTGAAAAGAGTTATCAAAAATAATGACCCATGTACGTGTCGTTATAATTCAAGCCCTTTTATCTCTGTTTGTGACAACATTTGTTATGCTCGTCCTTCACCATGTATTTACGGGAAGAGGTGAGCGCTTGAGCATGGCTTGGTTGTTAACTCGGACTTCTCCGTATTTGTGGGGTTGTCTGGGCATTGGTTTGGCTGTGTCCTTATCAGTTGTGGGTGCGGCTCTTGGTATATACACTACAGGAACTAGCATTGTTGGTGGTGGTGTGCGAGCACCGCGCATCAAGACAAAGAACCTGATTTCTATTATTTTTTGCGAGGCTGTAGCCATATATGGTCTTATCACTGCCATAGTTCTGGCGGGTTTGCTGGAACCTTTTACTATGGAAACAGTTTCAAAGAATCAAGCCGTTATGGATATGAACTGGACTAGTGGTTATGTATTATTTGGTGCTGGCCTGTCGGTAGGTTTCGTTAATTTGTTTTGCGGTGTTTGTGTTGGAGTTGTGGGTTCTGGAGCGGCCTTGGCTGATGCGGCAAATGCGGTTTTGTTTGTAAAAGTCTTAATCATAGAAATTTTTGGTTCTGCAATTGGGCTTTTCGGCCTGATCGTAGGCATCTACATGACGTCCAAAGTTAAAATGGGTGATAAAATGTCCACCTAATGTACGTGTAACTCCCACACGCAGTTAGTACTTTTCGCTTAATTAATTAAAACTTTTTAATTAAAATTGGTTTTTTGTCGTAGCACTATATTCGTTCCTTTAAAAATTTGATGTTGAGAACTCATTATATGTTGTTCCGTAACTCGAAAAACTTGTATTATGAGTGCAGAAAGAAGCATCAAACTAAAGTTCCAATCAGCGGACAAGATAAATTTCTGAAGATTCATTTCATTAATGTATAATAATATTTATTCTGAACGCACATATGTACTTGAAGTTGTGCTTTTCGTTATGGAATATTACTATAGGAAATAGACGCAAAAAATTTCGCGTATTTATATATATATTTACAATTTAGGAAATTAGTCGAAAATGTCGAAGAAATAAGTTGAAAATCTAGTTTTGCTAATATTTGTATTTAATTTCAATGTCCATTTAGAAATGGATTTCATTGCTTGAGCGTACGTCAAGAGCTTTTCCTTACATTCGTTACTGCTACACATAGTCTCTTTTTACTTTTAATCTCATAATATTTTTCCTTTAAAGTTCTTTTTAGAACAACCCTGCAAAAAATTTTGTGTCATACTTCTATTTGCAACACTTCATCATGTGATTAAATGAAGAAGTTTTTCTACATAATTAATCATATGTCATTGAAAATTATTGTGAGTAAAAAATTTTTCCCAAGTTTATATCCAAAAAATGTTGTTGAATAATAACTGCAAGATTTTTTAGCTCCTAGAAGCAGTGGCACATTCAAAATAATAAAGGAAAAGTCTTTTTTAAAAGCAATGACTCAATTACGTACACTTATAACGCAAACGTTCCTCTCACTGTTTGTGGCAACATCCGTTGTACTTATCATTTATCATGTATTCACGGGAAAGGGTGAACGCGTTAGTGTGGGCTGGTTTTTGACTTCAACTTCTCCGTATATGTGGGGATGTCTTGGAATTGGCTTGGCAGTGGCTTTATCAGTGGTAGGAGCGGCTCTGGGCATACATACCACGGGCACAAGTATTGTAGGCGGTGGCGTCCGAGCACCCCGTATCAAAACAAAAAACTTGATTTCTGTAATTTTTTGTGAGGCCGTAGCAATTTATGGCCTTATCACCGCCATCGTCTTAACAGGGCTATTGGAAGAGTTTAAAATGGAAACTGCTCTTTCCAATGAAGCTGTTATGAACAACAGTTGGACTGCCGGCTATGTGATGTTCGGCGCCGGTTTGGCTGTAGGTTTAGTCAATTTGTTTTGCGGTGTTTCCGTTGGAGTTGTTGGCTCTGGCGCCGCCTTGGCTGACGCGGCAAACTCGATCTTATTTGTAAAAATCTTAATCGTGGAAATTTTTGGTTCCGCTATTGGTCTCTTTGGTTTAATTGTGGGCATCTACATGACATCCAAAGTGAAAATGGGTAGCAAGGAGTAAAAAACAGCACACACAAGTTTCGTAAGCAAATGCCGTTCATTACCTTGCGTAAGTCTCTCGCTTAATCAAACACGTTATCTCTCTGTTTATCGTAGTATAATTGTTTAATCATTCCTTCAAAAATGTCATGTTGGAAACCCCACTGCTGTCTGTAAAAGCCAAATCAACAATCTATTGCAGTTTCTCGCCCATTATGAGTAAGGACTTCATGCGTATGTGTGCGCAAATTCGTTACTGTATCATTTAAAAATATATATTATAGGACTAAGTTATAAATGCTTTAAATCTTCCAAAACTTGCGTTTATAAGAGAAAAAGTCAGCATCAAACTAAAATCTTCCTTTTAGGAGGCAATGTAAGTTTTTGAAGATTTATGTTATTAAATTAGTTATATAAAGCTTATATTTGTTTAAAAAGTGTTTGTGTGTTTTAGATTCTTTTCCAGATAACATATTTTTGTTTTTTTGTTGTGTATTATTTTTGGAAATAGTTTAATTAAAATAAAAATATATGTATAAATATTGTAAAGTTGGCCGTAACCGGAGTAAAATGTTCATTAATTAAATTTAAATAATACATGTACAAAAATATTTAGGGAATTAAATGAAATTTGTAGGATTTGAAAAATTTAGTCAAAATATTGCTTGGGGGACGCAACTGGTCAGAATCATTGTAAAATTATGCATTCAATTCAAAGAAGTGTAGAAAGTGGCTGAAAATTGATTAATTACTTTAGCTGATTTAAAACATCTGACCATTTAAAGAATTAAGAAACGGAGAACAGAAAGATATGGGATCGATAATACGCAAATGTTTACGATAGATTGTTTGCTTCTCCTTTAATTTGCCAGAATTCCAAGATAGATTGTTTACTTCTCCTTTAATTTTCCAGAGTTTGAAGATATATTGTTTACGGTTGATGAGAATTAAGAATTTGTAGACTTGTGAATCGATCACAAACACGTTGATGCAACGAAATTTCAGCCCGAGAGAGAAATACGGGCATTAATTATCTATCCTTTAGTTAACTAGCTCTCATTTGAAAGCCATATCTTGAGCACCATTTAAGAATATGTGTGGCTTTCACCATTCAAAATTAATTTCGAAAAAATAATGGTAAAATAAAGGGTAAATTTGACAACGTGTGCTTACAATGATACACTTAATAACAAAGCGACGCGTACGTAAATAAAAATAAAAAATTATTAAAAATGAGCATTAGAGCATTTTGTTTAAGAGGTAATTTACAGTTTATGAAATAATTAATAAAAGTTTTTCTCAGGGTGTCATAAAGTTAAAGTAAAGAAGATTAGCAAAACAAAGCGAAAAGCATTGCTCTTAAAAGGCGGGCTTTAACTGTTTGTCTAGCTTGAGATAAAAGTCTTCCTAGCCATGGTCAATTACCACGACATGAAAAAGCTGAAACCATATATTAATCGTTTACGCATACTTGAGTTTGCTTATTTTTTTTTATAAAATTATATGGGGTGCTAGTCAAGCGAAGTTTTTATTGTGTTATCAACTTTTTATTACATTAGTATTACTATTATTATTATTATTATTCTTATTGAAAATAAATTGTAAGACTAAAATCTTAAAACGGTTTTATTGAAAGCGGTACTGCGCTTGATCCTTGAACTCGCGACTATTAAGTTGTTAGTTGGCCGCTCAGGCGGATAGATGTTCAATGTCAAATCAAAATATCCAAGCAGTTCTCTTGGTTTATTTAATTGCATTCTCGAAGGCCACAATTATGCTTATTGTTCGAAATTCATTTTCTTCATTGATTACTTCAATAATCAATTCAAAATTTAATTTGATTTACATTAATTTTGTATATCGTTGTCTTTGATATATTTGTTGCTTCCATTTATATTGATTTGTTTACCTTTGGCTCTAAAACCATGTTCTTCTTCATATTTTCCTGTAAAATGTAAAATAATATGGTAACGCGGCTTTCTGTTGCGTTTTCAATTGCGCTTAGTACCCTGCAAGTACGAAAACGCATCATTTTGTCAGCCCCATAAAGAACAAATTTTGAAAAAAAGTATTTACTTTGTTTAAAGAAGCTGACGCAATGAAGCATTAATGTTGATCAATTATATTGTTTTGCATATATACATATGAAAACAAAAAGGGAAAAGCTCAAGAAGAAATGATGGTTGTTTTTTAAAGTTTTAAGGTTATTTGTCTAATTTACGTTTATCTTTTACTAATGTACACTTTTTATTAAGTGATATATATTTTGTTAAATGCATATACCGTGCATTACTTTGTAAGTGAAAAACACGCAATAAAGACCACTTATTTATATATAAGTTGAAATTGTTCTATTAGAGAGTCGTAATTGTAAATGTGCAAATTGTGGATCGATTAATACACCGAAACGCTCTCGATGGTGTTATAAAATTTAAGCAGATTATGAAAGTTAACAAAATTGTTGTTTGTTTTATAAATTTGGGGTTTATATTGATGCAAACTTATTTACTTTTGGTTCTGAAGCCATATATTATTGGTTCCATTTTGCTGTAAAACAATATGGTAGCGCGGCTGCCCCTTATGTTTACCAGTTGGGGCGTTTTAAGCCGAAAATGACATCTCATTGTATCAGCCCCCAAATTCGTCAATAAGGTGGACGTCAGTGATCTTTACTCTAAACTCAGTTTTCTTAACTCTTCATTTTTCTAATTATTCAAAAATCTTATTTATTTTTACATTCATTTTCTTTTGGTTATTTTGCACATATCATTCGCTTATATATATGTTAATTTCCTTATCTTTACTTCTTCAATCACATGTTACATTTACATCAATTTACTCTTTTTCACCTGTCAAATAAAATGATGATGCAGGCTCAGCAGCTTTTAATTGCGCTAAGTGCGGCTTGATTTACGTAAAAAAAGCCACGATGTCTCATTATGTTCGTGCTTCATGCTTTCTTATGCCGCTTCCATACAACTTTTATTTTCAGATAATGGCAATTCTGTCATAGTAGATGAATGTATAACGAAGTTTCACTCCACTTCGTGATGGCGCTTAAAATAAAAACGCAATTTTGGTAATTTAATGAATTCTTTGTGATCTATTTTTGTCGGATTTTCAATAATAATTCGATTGAAAGAAAATCGATTTGAACATCATGCCTCTTCAGTATCCAAAACGAACAAAAGATTTGCCAAAATTGGATATAGATTCCGAGGATGAGAATAACACACCAACACCATGTAAGGCTGTTCCAAATTCCAGAAGTTCTCAGAAGTATATATTTGTTATGAGATATGTAGTTCCATTTGAGTGTTATTTCCTGTGGAACCTTTTTTTTATTTCACAGCTTGGCTAATAAAGAAAACATTGCTTTTAAAACTGAGCCTAATATTGTTATTATAAAACCTGCGTATGCTAGCAGCAACGCTAACGAAAATGTATTCATGAGGTATAGTTTTCAATTCTGGAGAAGTCGCATCGCTTTTAAAATGTGTAGATATTCTTTAGACCTAAACGGTGTGCTGAATTATCGACCTTAGAATCGGAATCTGAGGACGAAGACAGCAATAAATATGACTACTTAAATTGCGCAATCCTCAATGAGTCATTTATACAAACTCCAACAAGAGTCAACAGGGAAGGTGCCAATATTAAGGAGTTTTCGGAGCAAACTGCAAACGATTCTTTGTTAAGCCATTTCGGTAAGCTATCTTTGGAAAGGAACGAAAAAACAACGGAGAGCAAAAGTTCTATAAAGCCCCAAATGAGAACTACGGCTAACACTTCAATAAGTAGGCAAGAATTTGAAACGCCTTTTAAAACTTCAAATGACGATGAAGGAAAGTGCGAAGAACCTAGCACTCAAGTTAAGCAGCAAAGTAGAGCAGAGCAACAGTTTGTTACACCACAGGTACATACATTTTCAATGCAACGACTGAAAAATTTATGTCTAGCGCAATCGGGCAAGTTGGGCAAGCCGCGAGTAGATGATCTTAATGAGTTTCGTTCCCAGAAGGTACTGTTTCAAACGCCTATGACTTTATCGAGGGCACCTATGTGCTGTTTAACGAATGACAGCATGTCTTTGTCTCTCTATGATACCATAAATGAAGGAAGCACTCCTACTACCGCTGAAGAAATACCGCAACCACCTAGCAGCGAAACAAAAAATGAAAATATTCGTTTTAAGAAGTCGTTAGCAAACGCATTCTCGGAGACAATAACACTAAGGGAGGAGACGACGGCGGAAAAAGAAAAGAGAGCAATTGTCGTTATAAAGGATTCAAAATATATTGTTTTAGAGAAATTAGGTTGTGGTGGTTCAAGTTCGGTTTATCTGGCCAAATGTCTGAAACGTGGCAGTGAATGCGCAATAAAAGTGGTGGACTTAAGAGGAGATCCCGCAATAGTTGAGGGATATTTGAACGAAACCAAACTTCTAGCCAAATTGCAAGGCAATGTGTGTGTAGTGACTCTACATGATTAGTAAGTATTTATTCGAATTGTTATTTCTCAATAGGTTATAGTAAAAGAAAAGCTTCAGCCGACTGCTAACTACCCGAAGTACATATCAGAAGTAAGACGCGACACAACAGTCACCCAAAAAATATTGTTCCAAGAATACATTAGGGAATAAAATAGGCAACAAATTTGGCATTTCAGCTCTTCGATGCGATCGATGTGATAAATAGACGAGCTTAAAGTTCAATAATGCATAAGTATGTACGAAAAGGCAACAGCCGACATTTTTTCCTACAGACTGGCTTGAAAACACTTCTAAAATTATATTTCTTATAACTTGCACTTAGCTGAGACGGTGGGTATTCAATTTTCGCCTCAAGGCGAGCTTAGCTTTCTTCCTAATTTTAATCGATTCTGATTGTGATTTGCTTCAGAGATCCTATTTCTCGCGCATATTCTGCAATATTTATTACGAACTTATTTTAATTTTTTTTTTTTTTTTAATCATATTTTGTGTTGCAGTCAATTACTTCAAAAAGAGTCTCGACTTTTTATGGTCATGGAGAAAGGTGATTCGGATTTAAACAAAATTCTACAAAGTTACAGCACGGATTTACCGCTTTACATATTAACAAATTTTTTGTATCAAATGTTGCTAGCTGTAGACTATATACATCAAAACGGAGTGATACATTCGGATCTAAAACCTGCCAATTTTCTAATGATTAATGGTCGATTAAAGCTTATTGATTTTGGAATTGCCAGCAATATTGCTGTAGACTCAACGAGTATTATTAAATTTTCCCAGGCAGGAACATTTAATTACATAAGTCCGGAAGCCTTAATTGATACTTCTACTGGCAGCAGTCCTATGCGTAATAATCAACCCAAAATCAAGGTTTGTATGTCAAATTGTATGTAAAATCGTAGAGGCGTTAACTGCCCTAAAACAAAACAAGTTTAACTAATTTTTAATTCAGATATATATAAGGTCAGCAGTTTAGGTAAAATTAGCAAAACACATCACACATAGTTGACTTCCAAGAATCGGTAATAGACGAGTTTACTTTTCTTACTGTCCTGTACCTGTGCCTACTCCAAGAATCTGTGTACACATCTTATTAGATATGTCTACTCGAAGCATTGGTTTTTGCGGGACTTCGCATTTCCCTTGCAATGTTCTGCTACCGGCATTAGAGATACCAAGCGATTTCGGTTCTAAGAATTTAGAAGAAGAACTTGGAAGAGTTAATTCGTTTGAACTGCTGGTAATAGCTAGTGGTTCACACTAACTTGGGCTGGAACTTTGCATATATATTTTAAATTAATGATGCACGCCAACTTCCGGAATGGATATAGTTTGCTCACAATGCGAAAAAGTCATCCATCATTTACGACAAAAAATTGATATAGGAAACCGCTACTTGTTGCCCTTGCTGACACATAGATATAGGCGTGAGTTTATAATTCAAAGCAAATATTGATTGAAACTCGGTATAAATAAATTTAAAGAAAAGATTCCAATTTGTAACTGACATGTTATATTAATCTAAAACCGGACACAAGTAAAAGGTCAACTGACCTAGTTCCATTTGTTTTTAGTTGGGAGGTATCAAAAAATCCCTTTCTTGCTTATTTTAGCTAAAATCACCTTCTGATTAAATTTCAGATTTCCACAAAATCGGATGTTTGGTCTTTGGGCTGCATATTATACCTACTGCTTTACAAGAGGACACCTTTTAGCCATATCAAAAATATTAATGCCAAAGTAAGAGCCATATCCAGTCCTACGCATGTAATCGAGTATGCTCCGTTATCCGCCTATTATCCGCCCATGTTGATTCACGTAATTGTTATAAATTTCATTTAAGTGATTATTGTTATCAATTTTCAATTTTTTAGATGGCTAAAAATTGTTTACAGCACGATCCTAAGAAACGGCCGTCATGCGCTGAACTTTTGAAGTATCCCTTCAACATGCTAATACCAATAGAGAATCTAACTGTACCAAGAAATTAATATTTATATTGTCGATTAGCGTTGAGACCTTTATTGCTTCGGAATTACGATCAAATACCGATATTTATAAGTAAAAGTAGCACACATTCACATTAACTTCTTATTAAATTTAATTTTTAGTTTTCCTCTGCTGGCAGAGATTGCTGTTTACTTTCAATTTGCTACAGGTATTGCGGAATCATCAATAAAATATACGTGGAAATTTTCGTCCTTGTGTCTGACCTATTTTTATGATTAATGAGCGAAAAACCCAATTTTTGTACTTTAGTAACAAAGGGTTTTTAGTTCACCTTGTAATTTAGATGTGTCCTTTACCCACGTTGGTCCATTTTCAATATGTGCAAGAACTTCTAATGTTTTTGCGACAACTTTTGGCCAGGCAAATATGCCTAGATAAATGTAGAAATAAGAGACAAGCAGACAGCGTAACTGCAGTTCACCTTTTCTTTGCATTTTCATCAAAGCAATAATATTTCTGGGAAAAACTGGTGCACTTTAAAACGGTATTCAAACTTGTTCGATCCATTTGTTTTAAGTGAACATTGAATGTGAAGATGTGACCAACAGCTTTATGAAACTTCCATCTCTCTATCTGTTTGCTTATGTGATCAATTAAAAAACTTACCTCAAACTATGGATTATCGTTATGAGAGAGAGAAATGTTGAGTTCACACGCTCGACAACAGGGGGGGGTGATTGTTAATTGAGAAAAAGTTCAAACAATACAAAATTACTGCTTGAGAAATTGCTTTATCCATGTGCGTTCATGTTATTTATATATTAGGCAATGAACGTCTGCGGTCAATCACACTTTATAGCAAAGAATTGCAGAAATTTAACTCTTAAATGCATGATTTTTTGTTTTTAATTTTTTTTTTTTTTTTTGGGTAATAATATTGAGTATTTATTTTGAAAAATGATTGCATGAGTAAAAGATTATTGCAGACATAAACAAATGGTCATGTATTTATATCATTTGGTAGTGTAGAAATTTTCATAGCGATTATGAATGAAATATGGCAAAGCAATTGCGATTTTTGTTGTGGCACAAAGTAACCTTGCATTTGATGCACTCAGTACGTGAAAATCCTTTGCAACCTGGAAGTTTGCATCTATTTTTAGAACTGCATCTTTTTTCATCATGGCCTATACCGTCAGTCCGTATATCTTTTGGTGGGATAGGCTTTGTGGGACCTCGGTGTTTTTTAGCTTCTATCTCCCTTTCTAGGTTACTGGGTCTTGCTCTCTTATTCTCATCACACTTTTTATAAGAGCACAATGTCTCTGCCAGTTCTGATCTATAATCACCTAATGTGAGGTTTGGATTGTTTTTTTTATACAATACCCATGAATTGATCACTGTCATATCAATCATATAATAAAAGAATCTAATGTACCACTTGCGACTTTTGATTCTGATACTATATCTACCCAAAAAGCCGTTATAAGCAAATCCAGATAGTGAACACAAAACAAATAACTTGAAATCCCATTTATAGGATTTGTTGGATAAGTACTGTTTCATAAAACGCGCCATCTTAGTAGAAGGCGTTTGCTCTTCTAGAGAGAACCTCTGATCAAGTGGTGCCACACTAATGAACAATTTATTTAAGTGTTCCACAACAGGTCTTATTTTATGAAGACAGTCATGATTTGGGTGGTCAACAGGCTTGTGCTGTGCATTATCATTGAAATGAATTACGGATCTTATCTTCTCAAATCTATTTACCGTCATTGTCTGTTGTATATGATCGAAGCCATATTTACCCCAATAGGATCTAACATTTGGGCAGTGGTACACGGACATAAATATAATGATACCTAGAAATTGACGGATTTCAGTAGCATTTACAGGAGGACAATTGGATAAATTTTTTTGCTTGATGTACAAATTCGTTTGTTCGACAATGACATTGAGTATATCCTCACTTATAAATTCGGTGAAAAATTGGAATGGAGTTTCGAGTGCGGCTAATCGTAGGGAAACATCTGCATTTCCTATGAAATCTCTGCGTTCTTCACTACATTGCAAATTGCACTTCTTCGATATAAGTTCGCCATTTCGTTGCCTCCAAGCTGCAACGCCAAGATCAGGTAAGGGATGATTTTCATTATCTTGTTCTTCGTCATAATCATTATTGTCTTCAAATTGTTTCATTAGATCGTGTACGTCTGGGTAATAATCAAATTCGTTTAAATCATCGATACCCTCTTCGTCTTCAGAAATATATCCATTTTCAAGTCTTGCGAGTAAATCCTCGACATCTTTATCTTTTAGTCGCCTAGACATCCTAAAAAGCAAAGCAAAATAAGGCAAAAGACAAAGACACCAAAAGAACGCGCTTATTATTAATTATGTGGGAAACGTATAATGTAGATATTTGGCAACAAAGTATTTCCCAAAATTAAGTGATATAATCGATCAAATTTTCAAATGCAACAGCAAAGATTGATAGCTTACCTGATTAAGGATGAGAGATAATTCTTTTTCAATTAGATAAATCGCTTGTTTGTAGTAAACTCGAGAATAGAAAAATCTCTCCAAACCACGCACTAAACATTATCGCTCACCACTCAAATGTCACAAAAACATAACCAAAAGTAATGTCAAGATTTTTCTTTCGCACATGATTTATTGTCTATGGTTATCAACGTGCGTTCGGAAATGCACGTCCTAAGGTTTTGAATAAAATTAAGTGGAACTGGATTGTAGACAATTGGCAACAATGTGCATTAAAAGGTTAATAAACTCTTGTTTTAAAAACGGCTATTAACATGTTTACGACAGGTTTCATTTAGTCTTCAACTTCTATAAAATAGGAATGACGTCGCCTCCTTTTAAAAAAAAAATGTTCAGTTTCCACTGCCCTCCTGCGCTCTTACTGTACAGTTGTAATCGATGCAAATAAAAATACGAAATTTATTATTCGTATTCGCAGGAAACTTTCATCGCCCACAACTGAACCATTTAGCGCTTTTTGTGCCATTACCGCTTTAAATGGAGATAGGTTCGTACAAATACTTTATATTTACCGACGACAATAGTGCCTGCGCAATGTTGGCTTATGCTACAACATCTCTCATGGAAATCCCTCACTAATCATTGATCTGCACATTGTTCGGCGGCAGACAAATCTATGAGCATGTTCGCAGTCTAGCAAAATTAACTGTTACGAGTGAAGTCCAGTGAGCCGGAAATTAACTTCTGAGGATGCATTTGGCATTATCCGCAAGGAACTGTATAAAGTGTGGAAACTTAGAAGTGTTGAAACCTTGGGTTCGGTTTTTTAGTGAAAACCAAAAATAAAGTTTACTAGAACTAAAGAAAAATCAACTTGATTTTCAAAGATTTAAAAGGTTTTTAAAGACAGACAGAGACAAAAAAAACACAATAGATGTTGATAAGAGGGTTGCCAATCATTTTCATCACAAACGTGGATATATTTTACAAACTTAACACAGACAACGTTTTTTCTTTTCAATATTTATTACAATTCCTCGTAAACCAGAGTATCATGCGGTTAAACACGAGCCAACCAATCTTAAGGCTCCCAATCGTCTAATTATGATCACACTTCTCGAACTTGGTGCTACTTCTTTTGTTAGACGTCCTCTGTAGCATTATCGGGCTGTCGCTCTCTACCGCTTTACACAAAACATCGCTAAGTTTACATTTTATTAACTATTGCTAAGTTTACATTCTCACTTCAATTGCGACATGTAACCTAGTTAAGTTAGCCTAATTTAGTCGTAACTAGTTAATTGTATTATTATGCTAAGTTAGCATTACAATTATTAGTTATATAAGATACTGACCATACCTCGGTGATGGTCAGAACCAAATTCGTAATAAAGACTTAAAGAATATTAAATTTGAGTGTTTTCACTACACCTCTCTCCCTCTCTCTCTACGGTGCGTAATTATCTCGTTTTTATTATATATATATATATATATATATATATATATGTAATGTGTGTGTGTGTGTGTACATACATATATGTATACATACATATATACCTATATTTTCTCGGTAGCCGTTCTAAATGGTGAGAGCATTTCATGCCTTGTCATATGGTTGGGTAACGATTGAAAAGTGAATTTATTGGAAATAGGCTGCTGGATGGTTTTCAACAGATCTCACATTTTTTTAAGAACAGATGCGGCATAGTGGTAAGTTGGCATGCGAGAATCTACCAAACGGATATATTACGAAGTAGGTAACATACATATTAAAAACCAAGAACTTTCTTATTCCCTATGTATTATTTTTTATAACTATCATCGAAAGATGAGAGCGAAAATCGTCTGGTCAACGCGCCCAGTAGGAAGCATCAGAGGCCCAACAAAGTATATATATTCTTGATCAGCTTAGTTTAGTAATAATGCACCATATTTTGATAGTACACACTATTTTGATGCATAGCCGCAATTTCCATGAACACCTGTATATTGGACGTTTGGATTTTCGTCTATATAAGTGTTCACGTTTCGTGATAGCGCCTATAAAAAGTCGATCTACGGATTACTACTCATAAGATATCTTATATGAAGTGCGGCCAAGCAATGGATTCTTGTGGTTTACTAGATCCACTTAATTTTGTTTTATCATAAACAGATTTTTATTACAAAAAAACTAACAATTAAGATTTTTTGGCATATAAGAGTTTACGTTTACAAAAATTTGCACTACTGCATTTCTCTTAGCTTTATTTAGTATTTTAAAATATTTTTAGTTCTAGGAAATATTATTAAAATTTTAATACAATTGTGGAAGTAATTAATTTTATCCAAATTCTTTTAATAGCGGCAAACTTTATTCAATTGAATTGAGTTCCAATTAACAAGAAATGCCTGTAAAATGTTTCGAAGTTCATTCAACTGATTTTAATCCTATTCATTAGTAGCCAATTCTTCTTATTTCTATTCAGCGCTTCATATTTGATTCAATTCCGTTCGTACAATTAAACCATGAAGTTTGTGACGTCGGTGCATGTAGGGTGTATGTGGTCCCTCTGCACGCTTTCATCTAACCATTTTTTTAGGCGTTATCTTTGCTATTGTCAGGTTAGGCCAAATCAACCAACAATAGCAAGAGAGAAGTTTATAAAAAGAGAAAGAGTGTCCAAAGCCCATCTGTACATTATCAGTGCCGGTTTCGTTAAATTGAACAGGAAAGAAAAAGGCAGTCTGCTCTTAACGTCACACTAGATTAATTGGATTTCGATAAGTCAAAAAACATTTGTGTGCATGTACATACATATTTTTCTCTCGCTTCAAAATCCTTATATATATAAGACAAGACGTTTCGCTAGCAACATTTGCGCAACAAAATTATCATGTCTAAAAACAATATATATATAATTATAATACTAATTATAATAAAAATTTTTTGGCAATTAATAGATATATAGAAAAATAATGGTAATTCTGCAAAATTGGCAAATTTATTTATAAAAAAATGTTAATATCAACATGGCAACGATAAAAACAGCCAATCCTAGAAAACTCAAATGTTTGAAAAATTTTGCGTGTGCGCTTACATACAATTTCTTAAGCAAATATACCATCATACACAAGTACTTCTGCTTTAGCGCGAATAAGCTTACGCATACTTGTCGGACAAATTTCCGTAAATATTCTTATTTTAGTTTTTTACTCTTTCTCATACGGTCTTTAATATTGTTTGTTTTTATCGGATACCTTCTGGTACACCTAATAATGTTGCTGAGCAAATGTTGCTAAAAATATCCTATCTTATATATATCACGTTTTTCTATAACAAAATATGTTGCACAGAATTGCATTAACTATTGCTATAGTGAAATTGCCTAAAGTAGCTGGTCTGTCTGTGGTTCGCGTTTAAGTATAAGTGCCTCTCGTTTGACTATTTCTTGAGCGTAAGGATGGAGTAATGTTGTGTAAAACGTCTTGTCTTTGATATTTGTAGAGTTCTCTACATTAAAGTGATACCGTTCCTTTCACATACAAATAAAATAACATAAATAAAAAAAAAACCTATTGTGTTAGAACTGTGCAATATACTCTGTACGTATATTCCTTTTATTCTTTTCCATGTCCCGAAACATGTGTCGGTTTATAACAATGCATTTACTCCTTTATAAATATATGCCTATCAATATTATAAGCTGAAGTATCCTAAGACCATTTTAAGAAATATGCTATTACAATTATAACTTACCTTTTCCATGGGAAAAACGTTAAACTTCGCTTTATATATACGTTGCAAACCTCTGAGCAACATGCCTATTGAGTTGACATCATATACAAATACTGCCTAAGCAGTTATATGTATGAACAAAAGCAAGAGTTTCAGTTTTGATTTTCTATCGTATGTACCCGTTGATTTCAGTATTTTTATGTGAATGTTTCTTTACGATTTGTCTTCTTTTGGAGAATTCTTATCATTTTTCTATATGCCTATCTATTTACTACCAACAAATTTTTCTTATACACAAATGTTTATGGTCTTATACGTACAGGTTGAATAACATTTTTTTCTCTCCTAAGCATGATAATTTTGTTGTGTAAATCTTGCTGGCGAAATTAAATATATGTTGTTGAAATGTAGAAATCAGAAATATATAACGAACAAAAAAACTTAAAATGTGAACATTGGGACAATCATTAACTGAAACATAAGTAAAAAAATTATAAACTTACTATTATAAATCTTTGAGTTTCTATGAAAAATAAGGAATAAAAAAAGAAGAAAATGTAGATGGCGTTATATAAATGCATTATTTAGAGAGTATAAGAGAGGGAACCGTAGGCTAATCGTAGCTACTTTATCGAGCAGTTGGTAGTCATCTCGAGGTGAAAATCCATTCTAAATCCAAGCTTGTCGAAGTTTTAATCTTTTGTACAATTTTAGGATAGGGTGAGAAGGTCCCGTACGTTTTCTATTACTTACTGCCATGTTAACGAAAAAACGCTCCAGAAGATCTTGGCTTACCTTGTATGATTCTATCTGGATGCCAGGGTAAGTCAAGATCAGGTCTTCCATTAGCCTGATAAAATTATTTATTGTCGTCAAAGCGTCCACGCCTAATTGTTCCCAATGATTAGCTGCATTAAAGTACGCTTTGGCGGGTTTTTTTGTTTTAGGTTTTCCCAAGTTTTGATCGTAATTGAACTTCGATGGAAGACGTTCGTTACAGTGGTTAGCATTTCATATAAATTTAAAGTGCGCTGGGCAATGTTGTTTTTTATACGTTCACTCACAGATGCAGGCAATTTTAATACAAATACATGTTCAAGTATTGAGAATTGTAAACAAATGTAGACGCTTTTTCTCACATGTTTGAGAATTTTTATACAAATTATTGAGAAGCATAGATTCTTACTTTAACTTGGCGGCAAATTATGTTATTATAACAATTACAGTATGAAAATAATCTTTCGATTGGTTGACAGAATTTGTAGGTAAAAGAGTGGTGTACTCCTAGGTGTGAAAAAGTCTTCGGTAAAATCTGGAATGAAAGGCTAGTTTCCAAACGTAAAAAATTTCTTCCAACTTCTGTAGCATACTTAAAGGGCTCTAAACAGATTCTGACTAGCTCGCCGAAATTGGGGGGTTCAAAAGAGGAATTTGCCCTAAAGAAGTTTTATAATAAGTATGTGATGTAAGATGGAAGTGTAGTGTAATGTGTGAACGTACCTCGCCAGCCAGTAACATACAAAGCGATTTAGTTAATAAACATTTTAATATAAGGAATAATCAATATGAATAATTAAAATAATGACATTTGTGTTCAAGACAAAAAAGAAATATATGAATTAAAATTTTAATATAAAATAACTAATTTAATTAACAATAATTCAACTCACCTTTTCAAAGACTCGTCGAATGTACATTCGTGTTACGTATTAAAAAGGCATTCTTACAATGTTAAAAGAAAATAAAATAATTAAACAGATTAAAAGACTAGTAAGAGTAAAATCAAAATTAGGCCTTAGACATTCAGAATCATTCATTTAACAAACTGCATCGCGGGAGAGACGGTACATTTTTGTCGCCACATCATATATTGCTAATTGAGTATTGTAGACTGGGAGATGATAAACAGTCAAATATGAGGTGGAATAAAGTGTGAGTCTGCACAGAGGGAGATAACGATGTTTGCTTTCCCAAGCTGCAATGTTTCACTTTTACAGATAATTCAGTTTTTTTCTGAATATAATTCACTTTTGTCACAGCTTTCTTTTTCTGCTTTCGTCAACTTTCTTCTGTATCTTCTTCTCCTAGTTCTTTAACCAATTTTCTTAAAGAATCTTGAATTTCACAAGCCCTCTTTTGTAACAAATTTCTTGTTCACTTATTTAGAAATTGTTCGTTTGTTTACTTTCGCCAGATCGCGATTTAACGAGAAAAATATTATTAAATTTCTTAAAAACTTTCAATTTTTATGTGAAAAATTTTGAACAAATTTTTGTTTGAATTCCGAGGCGTTTTATTTTTCACAAAAAAACAAAAAGATAGAGTGTTTTTTTTTTTTCTTTTTCGAAAAATTGACATGTAAATCCTACACTCAAAGAAAAACCAACTCCCCAAAAAATCCTTTTTTCCTTCCTTCAAAAAAAAAAGGCATCGCCTACTTATTTTTCTACACGTCCACTTGCTACATAACAGACATTTCTATGTTAAACTTGAAACTCATTATATATAAAATTGAAAACGGATTGCAGCAAGGAAGTGTTCTAAGTCTTATTGCGTATATAATTTTCTGATCACTGACAATATCATAACTGCGACATACGCTGATCATACCGACATCCTATTTTCATCTACTGATCCCATGAACGTGTCACAAGAACTACATATTCACCTCAACAAAATTTCGCATGTTATGTTTAAGTTAAACAAGGTATCTTGTCCTTCAACACATTGGAGCGGCAATAATAATCTTATAAACAAATGTGTGAAATATCTAGGCTTAATATCCTCCAACCCATTTGGACATCAATACAATTGTGAGGAACAGCCAGTAACTCTAGTATTGAAATACTACAAAATTGTCAATCTAAGTCTCCGTCCGTGGTTCGTTAGCAAGAAAACTATTCGTGGTGACCTCGATTTATTGATGACCTTAAATAATTATAATGAATTTTCTAAGTTTATATAGTTTCTTTTTTTTTATTTAAACATCATATCTGTTTTATTACACTGTTCCTCTTTGAGAATCAGTAACCTCTGTTATTCTTCTCATTTGAATAGAGCATTTACTTATTATCTTTTTATAAAGAGCAAAATAGAATTTTCAAAGCAAAGTTTATAACACAAAAGAGCAGAGTGCAGAGAAGAGCTATGTAAATATGTATTATATATATATAGGGAATTCGCTTTAATCCACTACACAGACGCATCACAGGTATCGTTTCCTTTTGTCCGATAAATTTCCCTTTTTCTGTTTTTCAGACCGCTGCCCTTAAGGAACGCTGTTGCGTATCTTGAGCAAAACATCCCCTAAGCCGAGTTGTTGAGAGACTGCTACACTGTGAGGTGCAAGAAAAGTTCAGCGATGAATTCAACAAGAAGAATAACACGCACCCCAACACTTCGGCAATGCTGTCATCGCCCGTAGAGGTTGTCGCTCCTACCATCGCTTGTGAAACATACAAAAGCGAATTCCCCACCGAAACACAGTTGCGGCAACTTCCCCGCCGTAAAACTTGTAGAGGTAATATGAACCTCGCCACTAATCCTTGTGAAGTATGCGGCCGGGAGCTCTCTACTTATCCCTATCTCCGCCTACAGCAGACTCGCGCTCACCCCAAGGAGAGCAACGCGAAGGAAATGCAACTTGTCCAAGAATCCACCCGCCAATTCTGGACTGCCGACGAGGAGCATGCTCTTGCGCCAATAGAATTGGATATGGGCACAGCCACCAATTCTCTAATAATTAACCATCTTAGCTCAAATTCTAAGCGGACAAGGGACACCATAAAAAAACGCCGCCAAACTGCTACCTACAAGGAGATCATAGAGAAAGAGCTGCCGGTCAAAAGGAAAAAGAAGAAATCTGCACACGATAACAGTGCGCTGATCACAGCTATCATCAGCTTGAACTTGGATATGCATGATGACGCTGTCAGACTGCAAATATTGCCCTCCATCGCGGACTAACGGCAAAACCCGAAGAATGGACCAATCTACTCATAGCGAGCTTGACCAGATCACCTGCCAACGAGGCTTCAGCAAGCTTAACGGGTGCTTCGCAAACGTATTTAGCTTTAATGAAAACGTCAACACAATGAAGCAACAGGGAAAGCCGGTTTGCGCAATAACTACGGATATTGCCAAGGCCTTTGACACAGTCTCACACAAGTGCGTCACACGAGCTCTAGGAATGTTGGGTATGGAGAAAATATTCTATAAAACTAAACCTGATGGGCGCCTGTACCACCATTAATAACACAGACATGTCATCAGTGAAGCAAGGTGGCCCAATCTCACCCATACTTTTTAACCCAGCCTTAGATGAACTTATCTGCCGTCTGCAAAGCTTGAACGGAATTGAAGTCAACAATACTCAAATACGCTGCTTGGCTTACGCCGATGATTTGATGCTGCTTGCCAAAACGCGCGAGAACGGAAAAAGGATGGTCGAAGCCGTGAGATAATTTCTGGGCAACCGAGGAATGAAACTAAATTCCGCAAGAGTGCTTTCGCACTGTACCGAGCAAAAAAAAAGGTGGCACGACTTAAATACGGCACTGAGTATCTTCGGGGAGCGAGCGTGTGAAGCCACATCATAGCGGAATTCTCATCACTCGGTGAAGTTTCATCCACTTGCGAAGCGCTGTTTTCTGAAACACCTAAAACTCGCCCCCCCATAAAGTAACCAAAAGATGCGCGTACTGAAAGATTTCTTAATACCACGCATTATAGCTTGCAAGCAACAGGCAAGTGTTACAAGGCAAGTGTTAAAAGAGGACGATTGCATGGTACGTGCGTTCGTAAGGAACACATTACATCTAAACATTTATTGCCACAACTTCGTGGTCTACGCCGCTGCCAAAGATGGAGGACTAGGCATCTGCAGCAGCGTTAGACGCATCTTTTTCCGGATGTAACGAATTGAAGCAGATGGCGGGCAACAAGTGCAGCAACCAATAGCTGTACGATCCACCGCCATTTTGATCGGGAGAAGACTATATTAAAGCGGTCCAATTACGCGTTCATCCCCTGCCATGCAAAGGTATACCAACCAATCCGGTTGCAGAACGTCGCTGCCGAGGAGAACGTTGCAGTCGTCTGCCATATACTGCAGGCCTGCAATACTACCCACATAGATCATATCAACCGCCATAATACCGTGCAAAACATCGTAGCCGCACACGGCAGGAAACAAGGCTGGTCCGTAGATGTAGAAAAGCATGTTTACGGGCAAGATGGTATTATGAGATAGCCCAATCTCATATTGTGTAAGAACGATCAGCTTGTAGTCTCCGATGTGGGAATTCACTGGGAAGGTGAAAAGCCTCTGCAATATTTCCATGATGTTAAGGTAAACCATTACAGCTCTGAAGCGTTCGTAGGAAAATTGAGAGCGAGATTTACCCAGGAAAAACAATAAATGTGCTGCCCTTCATAGTGTGAGCAAGCGGAGCATTGTGCAGACAAAACAACTGGCTGGCTAACTTCGTAAATATTACGCAGGCAGAAATAAGAATCATTGTTGCTTGCGGGCTAAAAGGTGGAATAATAGCGCACTCGGGCTTCATGAAGCTTATGTGGGGATGTGATTAATAATCTGATAAATAATTTAAAGGCAACAGTGACCTAACATCTCGCCGAAATTGGTTCGGTAGTACCCCGCTTAATCGTTCACCTATTTACTACACATTACAGAATAGTAAACGCATTATGCTATAATTTTTTGTATAATTAAGTAATGGAACAATAAAGATGGTTTTTAATAACCAAATGCCTTTTATTCTCTCTTTCCTTCACCCTCACCCAACTAAATTGTATGTCCTTAACACGTAGCTTTTATTGGTTGGTTATAATATATTTTAAAACAAACAAAACAGATATTCTGGAAGTTCTTTTATGTGACACTTATATTGACAAGATTTTCGGGAAAAATAATCCACCAAGTCGTTGCGTGCCTATTTCTAATTTAGAACTAACACCCTTAACTTTTCGTGTTTTACTCTTTCAGTCCTTTTTTTGACGTCCATATCAGTGGGGTCATTGAGGAAAGGATAATTCGTTACTTCGCGATGCCTACCAAATTCAATGCATTATTAATATTCTGAACTTATCCCATTCTGCTCCCCAAGCTCTTCTTCTATTGGAGACCCATTTCTATTGAAATTAATGCGCTTACCTTGCTATATTCTACTTGACGAGCCCTACGGTGCGTGCTCGTATTAAAGAAGATCGTTAAGAATGAGTTATTCTTTCTCTTTGTTGCGCCTATCTGGTTTCATGCAACATGCCAGCGTTTAGATTGTTGCATTCTATTCTGCAAGCACTTTTATTTGACACCGATATTGCGGGCATTGTTAAGAAGAATATAATCAGCCATTTTATAGTGAGCACGAATTTTGAATACAAAGGTATTTTGACCATTTCATGTCGCATTACACTGTCATCGGAATGAAAGGTATGTGCAAATTTCAGGATGTTTGAAAGCGCCCGAAATATCGGTCCGAAAAACGGATCTACAAAATAATACACATTCACACTGTCTATTTTAAATGTTTCTTTCTTTATTATATTTTATTTTTAGTTTTCCATTGTTGATAGAGAAGAAGATAGATTAAGAGATATAATTTCCATCTTAACTATTATCTATATAAAAAATATAGCATAAAAAGCCAAAAATATTTTATATATATATATTTTTTTTTATTATATTTTATAGTTAATCTAATCATTATTAATAGTAAAAAAATTGAATTAAAAAGATACTACCAAAAGAGAAAACGTTAATATGAATGATACCAAATTAGTTTAATAAATAGAAGGGGAGAAATTAAAACAATAAAAAACAAAAACGTAAGCAAGCATTCTAACATGTATTAACATCAACAAAGCACAACTTCTGGACATAAGAAACTTTAAGTGTAAAATTAGTAACGAAAAATCAAGATTTTAATTAGATGATAACAATTACTTGTACAAATGCAACGAAGTGATTACGCGAATTAATATATAAATAATTTTTTAATATATTCATCTTTCAGCAATTTGCGATCAATATATAGCTTTAATATATCAGAGAAAGATTTCATGTTTTTGTTTAAAAGGATAAAAATTTACAGATTAACTTTTTTCGACTTTCACACTCTTCTTATCAAAGAAGATATGCTCAGATATCTTTTATCACTCCCTACTGTGAACTAAATATTTGTAAAGTGACGAAAATCTTACGCTTTTGGTTTTCTTTACGGAAATAACTGATCGATATTGAAAAAACCAGCAGACGGCTAGACAGCTTCATTATAATTCACTACATTTTCTTTACAATTTCGAACAAAGTGAAGCGTTTTCCTTAAGTCCTCGAATACATATCGTATACAAATTTGAAGTGTAAAGATCTAACCAAATTTTGCTAACGAATTTTGCATCTTCTTATTGCTCATATAATACTTTGATTAAAGCTCTCCAAACATTTACGTCACAATTCATAGTTTAGTTCTATTAAATTCTTTCTCTTTTTCATAAGGGTATCAATGATAAAGCGGGTAAGAATGAAGTCTTCTTTCCATTCGTTTTTGCTAAACAACATCTATCATCTATTGCAGAAGAATCATTACAATCCCAATAATCCCTTAGCTTGCCCGATAAAGTCTTTCTTGTTTACTAAAAGAAATTATGATATGGATACATGTACACTTGTTTATCTTAAGCAAATTAAACCAAGATGGACTGACTATAGATAGTTAGCACTTGATACTATGAAAGAGATGTTATTTGCTCTGCAAAGCTACTACTCTTTTTCCCTCATAAAAACTTTGATGAGCTAGAAAGTGCCAAGTTTTCTTTGTTATTAACGCACTAAAATGTGCTAAGTGTATTTTAAATTAATATTTATTCGTGTAATCCTTTGTTTTCGATCAACCTTAATACGTGGTTTTACATAGCTTTGAAATCTTTGTTTACTTTGTTATTTATGTTATTAGTTCTGTTAGAGTCTTTATGTCGTATGAAAATATTTACTCTATATATTTATGTGTATGAGCGCTTCAATTGCATTTAATGCTCTTTTATAAACCATTTTAAAAAAAAAAAAAAATTATTTGTACGGCAACTCGTTTTTTTTTAATAACACAAATTTTGGGTTTTTTTTATTACTGAATAGATGATTGTTTACATATACAATTATTACGAGCATTAAGTAAAAGAGGTTAATACAATTTTTAAGACATTTAAACTAAGATTTAATTATTGAAGCAATGCCGCAAGGCATCTTAAGAAAATTTCATTTCATTTCGGCACAGTACGTATATAACACTTTGAACAAGTTAAACGCGGTAATGAACATGAAGGTAGGGTGGGGAGAGGGGGAAAGGGGCACAACATTTAAATGCTCCACTACGTCTTTCATAAATTAACAAACCACCAATCCACGCGCAAAGTACAAAGATAAGGTAAGAAAAACTGAATTTAGAAATTCATTTCCAAGAGTAATAGAGGTTCTTTTTTCACGACTTTTTAGTAGTATAAGAATAATTATATATAAACTTCTTAACATCTTCTATAACAGGTTGCTGCTTAAATACTTTATATATAAATCCTTTCTTAAAAAAGGTAGACTAAGAGAGAGGGGTTACAAGGACGTTTTCCACCTACTCTCTTGTCCTTTAAGTGTGATTCTCTTTTTTGATTTGTGCCAATTTGGCCTGTATATGCTGTAAACGATTGGGCGACATTTCCGGTTTCTGTCAAAAAGTTTTATATATTTCTTTTTAAATAGCTTTTTCATTTGTTTATCTAATGCTTACATCTCTTCTTATTAGGGAAACCTTTTGAGTGTTCATATTATTGAAGCTGAGATTTTCATCCACTACTTTATTATCCATCATGTGGGCACTAGTTAACAGACAGCCGTCCGCATTGCGATGAGGCGGCATATTAGCTTTCGCTTTTAATTGATTTAAACGATCCATCCAAAAATCGGGGTCGGCTCTCAAACCGCTGCTGTGGCTTTCGCTCACCGATGATGTTTGTTGGTAATTTGCATCTATTTGATTAAAAGAATTTTTATTGCAAAAATTTGCTGATCGCATGCATAGTCAATTAATTAAATTGAAAAATATTAATTCAGATTGCTATATTTATAAACAGTGGGTACGCCCTCAGATTATGTTATGACTTTGTTGCTTTTATGTTGACTTTTAAAGTTGGCGAAAGTAGAAGGCAGTACAGATTTCTTGCAGCTTTTGGTCACCGCAACCTTATGTATCCTAAACCTAAAGAGCAGTTATATTTTCAATGTTATATTATCTATAAATGTGTATTGTAACAAATTAACAAGATATAAGCACGCAACAAGTGAGAATATCATATCTATGCATAACAGTCTTAATGTGAAAGTATACAGCTTAAATGTGAAAGACTTTTCGCAGAAAATATACATCCATGCGTCTACTATTTCAATAAAAAAATAAATGTCTTCTGCAGATTTTCCTATCGAAATCCTATCGAAAACTTCCTTATTAATTTGATTCTCACGCTTTCTCTAACGTTCGAATTCAAGCGCTTTCCCATCTATTGGTGTAAAACCAAGATTAGTTCAGTTGGATTTGTAAGATCAAGTAATGCGCACTAGAAAATGTCCGCCTAGGGTTTTGTCTTCAGGCTTTCATGTTTACTATGGCCAAAAGTTTAAATATAAAGCTATATTAAAAAAAACATTTACCATACGTCGTCCAAGAGAAAACAAAAATCTCCTATTTATTTTTGGCGGCCTTTTAAAAAAACGGTCTAAAAAAGTTTGCGATCGACTAATTACTCGGAGGTGACAGCAATGTACAATTTGTTCTACAACTTGCATAGTACCGAATATTCAATAAAGTGATTATAATTTTTTAAGCGTTTTTTCTTTGGTGTTTTTACTATATTTTTTTACGTACCCAACCGATTATCATTAATTTGTGCGTTTTGTGGATTAGTTTGTGAGCTCAGCGAGCCGGTATTGCGTTGGATATCGGCTAAGCCTTCTTCTATGTACTTTTGAAAACTTGGACTCGCTCCTTTTAGAAAAGAAGTAACATCGATTTCAGGGTTTTTCATCTAAAACCATATAACTATTACATTAAAAAGATGGATCAATTTATTTCAAGTCTCACCTTAAAGTCATACAATTTCTGTAAGCCTTGTTGTTTGGTTTCCTTATCCGATATCAGTTTAAATATTTGCGACATAGTCTCATGTGTCTGATACGTAATTCTTTGCTTGGTATGCACGTCTTTGGAACAAGTTGAACGTTGCGGCGAGGAACTAGGTAGATTGCCATCTTTTTGCAAATTCTAATTTCAAATAAAATAATTCCGGTTTTATATAGTAAATGTTAATATTTTATGATTAAATTTCTATCTACCTTTAAAATTTTAATGAGATAAGTATGCAATTCAGAATGTGTAGGTATTTGATTGAGATGTTGAAGTATAGCATTGCCCTTAATCTTAGCCATATTATGAATTATAGTCTTTACAGTACGTAATGGGGTATCAGAAGGTCTGGTTTGCCACCATGAGCTTGGCAAAGCCAACATGAATTCGTGTAATTCTAATAAAACCGCATCATAATTTAAATCGTTACTACGCTCGGGCAACGCTTTAACATTTCGCCAGATACATTTCATTAAGAGATCTGTGAATTTTGGTAGGCCAGCGCTGGGACAAGTTTCTCGCAATAAACGTATCAAAGCACTACACAAATTTGCAAATTCTTACGGTTATTCAGTTCAATCTCTGTTAAGACGTGAGCTTACCAATTCAGACTTGTAAAGTTAGATTTGTCAAGAACCTTCAAACAAATACCGTTGATTACTTTATTGTATTGACCATCATCCCCTGTATTGAGTTTCTGATCAGCCATTAGATGCAGTAAAGCCGACATGAGATTTTTAATGCAGGCAACGCTTAATGTTTTTCCCAACATTTTCGAGTGGAAAAATGAGTACAGGATGGAAAGCAATGGTTGATAGACAACTAGAGATTCGGCTATAGGCACTTGAGAAAGATTCTGAAAAAAATTTTAATACCAAGCTACAAATGTTTAGCCTTTTCTTCTTTGATCTTCGCTTAAGTTTACCTTTAACTGCGCTAAAGCATTCTGTATGAATATCTCTTCGTAATCCCTTAGTACTGCTTGCTTCTCTGGTGACTCTATAATTTCGGATAATTCATTTATAGCCGCTCTAGCCTTCAAAGTATCCGTACTGCTTACGGCTTTAATAATTTTAATTAAATGTGGATCATGTTTCGGTAGAACATCCGCTAGACTGAAATAGATTTTGCAAAAGAAATAAATTAAAATTTTTTTTTTAGGTTATATAATTATTCTATGAGAGAATCAGCATGCTTCCACAAAAATATGCTACCAAACAGTTTACGATTTCTATGGACAAGGAGCCCACACTTATACATGGTTCACGGCAAACAATAGGAGAAGCGAAACGGCACTTTAAAATACATTTAGGTGAATTAATTGGGGTAGTTCGTTTAGAAACAGTGGGGAAAACTTGTTACCCTTCTTCGAATCGAAAGGCGCTTGAATAAGAATAGTTTTAAGCCATTCACAAAAAATGAAGAAGGATACTACCACTATAGAGTTCCCTCAGTATATTCGATTTACTTCAGTGTAAAAATACATTTTTTGGGAAAGCAATTAACAATAAAATATTATCAAGCACTGCCGAAACGTTCGCGTGATGATTGGCATTTGATACCCACAGTGATTTGCTTTTTCATTGTAGCCGTTATTTGGCGAAATTCGCAACCTTTCAACAAATGAATCTCAGAAGAAAAAGGCCATACCGAAAGAAGATTTATTGACTGCATATATTTGTTGGTGAAACAAAAAATTCTTTCCGACGTTCGTTTCATCCATACACTTCGATTAAAGCCTCCTATAATACGCGTAAGAGTTAGTTTCTTGCGATCGGCACCAGATTCTGAATCGATTAAAGTGTGTTTGTGTTAATGTTGAAAAATCAAAAACGAAGAAAATAAAACTGTTTGTTACTTCTCGTTAGTCACAAACTAGGCGATCATTTAGTACTGTAAACTACCACCTCCAGATAATATTACAGTGTAGCAAAATTTAATTTTCTCCTCAAAGCCTTTGTAGTTTCCAGAAAAAAGCTTTAAAGTGTATGTAAAGTGTATAAAGTCTTGGCCAAGATGAAATTCAGAATCCACCCGAGAATGTCCGTCGGTTCGTTTGCCTTTCTATATTACACAGCATTGCTAAACATTGTCTCTTTCGCAAAAATGAAAATATCGAGTTCAAGCGCGGCCAAAACATTAAAAGTCCTTACACGTATTAAAAACGCTATTAAAAATGCTCCAAACGTATTTAAGGGCACGGCGAAGGCACATCTTAAACTGAGAACACCTTTACTTTTTGTGTTTTGAGTATAGAAATTAGGTTTTTCCTTTTTTTTTTATGTTGTTTTAGGAGAAATGCGCTAGATCTGTATTTCACACACACATTCAATCCAAGACTTGGGCAATTTTCTTGCTTTTTGTACTTTATATATGGTCTTTATACAGATAGTAAGTCACCGATTGAACCAACGGCGAAGAGTACAATGAATTTTTCTTCAATCTTTACGACATATGCAGGTTTGTGTATGTCTTGTTTGTTCTGAACTTCTTTTCCGTCTTTCAAGCGATATTAGAAAAATATGATCGCATCTAAAAGTTTAAACTTTAACAACTAATTCATCTCGACCGAATCGCTTTACGCTTATTCTTGCTGTAACAATAAACAAAGATTTCTTCCTTGCATAAACACCTAGCCTTTCTTATGCACGGCATTCGTACTATAAAATAGTGAGCCAAATATTTTGGCTAAAATATTTCTTTTAATAAATCGTCAATTTTGCGAAATCATATGGAAGTCAAATGCATAAAAGGGACAAATGTATTTGGAACGAAGTCGGAATCTTAATTCATTAGAAATATATCAATTTGTGTGGAATGATCGAAATACAATGGTGTTTGCAACTTTTATGTCAACTCCGTATAAACCTTTCTGACAAATTATGTTATCTTTCCTTAAAAAAGTAATTTAGAAAGGGCCTATAATAATAAGTAAAAGCGATCATGCTGCGATATCACTAAAGTGGAATGTGATGTTTCTTCAGTCATAGTTTTAGTGCTTATGTGGGAGTTAATCGTCATGTGAAACTGGTAAGTCTTACTTACTTGGGTGGTTGGTTGACCAAATTTTGTTGATAAAGTGTGTTATATTGTTGCTGCTGCTGTTGGGGGTTCATATAAGGTGAAATATTGCCGATCAAACCGCCTGTTGCAGCTTGTTGCATATAACGCGAACGGGCTAATAACTGATCGAATTTATCTTGGGGATATCTATGACCGTCCTTTGTGGAAATTACTTTAATGGGTTCAAAGAGCAATGAAATATCTACACGTGGCGCTTCAAGATGTTCCACCTGATCGACACGTATCCAGTCTTTTTCTATTTCTGATATAACATTCGGATCTAAGCCAAACGGACCGCTAGGTTTGGGGGGATGAGATTGTTGATGTTGTTGCTGTTGTAGCTGCTGCTGACCCAAAGAACCAATAATTGTTGCTGAAGGTTGATCAAAAGTTCTAGATGTGAATGTGAAACAAAACATTTTCAGTAGAATTACAAAACAATTCAATCCTAAATGAATTTTTGACGACTTCAAACAAATTACAGTAAGCTTAAAAGCCGAAATTCCTAACTAATGCAAGCTTTTTTTTGATGATGTTCCAACATATGTAATACAAATTCAACCAATTACGAAATGAATGAAAATAAAAAAAAAAAAAAAAAAAAAAAAAAAAAAAAAAATAACAAAAAAAGTATAAAAAAAAAAAAAAAGACAGAGACAGGATTTCACTCTTTTTTCTTAAGCAACAAGAATAATAGAACGCAACACAAAAACACATATATAAAATGGAAGAACTGAAAAAATAATGAATGAAATTTACGCTTGTCTTATTAGTGAAGTTGCGCGCACTTCTTTTTCATCCTGAGAGCTGTTACTATCTTCATTTTCATTCTCTCCGTTCTCATGACTAAAGCCAAAAAAATAAAAATAAAACAAAATCAAAAACTTAAACAATTGTTAATAGCAATAATTCTCATTAAGAGGTTAAGAGGGAAAGAAAGACACAGAGAAAGAGAAAAATATCTTTTCTTTTCATTAAGCGGTCATCATGCTCAGTGAAAACTAGCACAAAGACTTTTCAATTTGTTTATAATTGCAGTTCAATTTTAAGCAAATACAAACCTTTGATCAAGTTCTTCGGGTGGTGGCAACTCATCGCAACCATTAGTGGACGGTTCGTCGATTTCAATGCTTTCCTGATGTACTTGTCCTGAAGATTTGCCACTAACGTTAAGGCTGGTGTCAGATTTTTTCTGTGGCCTTTTGGCGCGTTTAATGCGTTCATCCAGCATTGATAGATCTTTATCGTTCAACTGACCGATGAGTTTATAAATTTTCTCTCCAGCAAGGAAATAAGCTTGTACCACGCAATTAAGAGCAGCATTACGCACGCTATTGTCGCGATCGGAAATGTGACGAGCAATCTCTTTTAAAGCGACTTGTTGTGAAGGTTGGCAAACGGTAAGACCGTAGTTTTCAATCATATAGCTCAACTCATCTAGACATTCGGTACGCTGTCTGGCATTTTTAGACTTTAAACCTTCCATGACGTAAATAAAAACCTTGTTGTATGGATAAACTACTAAAATTTGACGTAACAAAGAGCGAACACCGTTGCGTACAGTATCTTTCGGATCACCCAGCTATGCGTAATAGCGTACAAGAAACATAAGACCACAAATTGCTTATCGCATCTTAATTTTTACTTACTTTAAGTAACAAGTGGGGTATAAAAGAACTTCCTTCATTATCGGCCAAAATATACTCATGTTTGAGCAACGTCACAAAGACTTGATGTAAATATTCTAAACCTTTAATAAGGACCGAGGGGTTAGTGTCATAGAAACGTAATGACAGCCATTTTAATATCAAATCTAAATTGCTTATTAAAGCTTTTGGATTTTGAGGTAAATCTTCCATTAAAGTTTCAATAACTTTCAAGTGATATCTGCATAAAAAAATATTCTTATAAAAGATTTCATTTCAACTTAATGACTAACGTAGACCCACCTAAAGTCATCGTGAAACATGTTCGCCATGAGTGCTTTATTGACATTAGCCGATATCATTTGTTCTCGCAAGAGCTCAATGAATTCTTCCCGGGGTGTTGTAAACGTCCATTTTAACACTCGCATTTTTTGCTCATCGATTAACCTTTGATTCTTGGTATTGTTTACGACTAATAAGGGAGAGTTTTCCACTTCTTCCTCCTTCTTGCGTGATCCTGAATTATTTAAGGTTTTAGCATTTCCTGAATTGTTCTTATTTGCTCCATTTGCTGTTTTCGAACTCTGGGCGTTATTAGAGGATGCCCCACCGCCACCACGTAAGGTTTTCTTCTCTTCGTACAGAGGAGCTTGTTGCTTGCTTTTAGGCAAGGGTTTAATTGGCAAATTAGGTCTTGCTTTATCTAGCGCCACCTGTATGTCTTTTTTAGCGGCAGGTTTTTGCTTATCTAAAGCCTTGACCATAGTGTCGAAACCTAAATGTATCATTATGCCTAAAACGGCCTCGTTAGCATTTTTTCGTACGTCGGCGTTACGGTCGCATATGTGCGCATAAAGATGTGGTATCATAGAAACTAATTCTTCCTTTGATACGCTCTTTGGCGGCATTTGTGGCAAACGTTCAGCTAACCAAGCCCAAAGTTCTACTTTCAAGGCAGGTGAACCAGTCTTCAAAGCATCCGCGAGCATTTCCCCTGCAACACATGAAGTTAATAGTCTTGTCTCAAATATAAACTTTTTGTTTACCTTCGAAAAATTCTTTGTAGCCTCCTTTCTCACCGAAACTGTTGATACAGTTTAACGCAGCCGCTCTTACAAAACTCTTGCTGTCCCCCAACGCATGCAGAAACCCTGGAAAAAGCACCCTAACATAATTTTTGCAGCCAGAATCCATAGCATTGGCCAATTGCTCGCATATAGTTAGAGCAGTTTGCGCGATTTTAGCATTTGAATCTACCAGACGTAAAGCTAGAGCTGGTGCCAAATCACCAATAGAGGGTTTAATTAATCGTGCTTCGGTGATAATAGCTTGCAATTTGTTTAGACCCTCGTTCCTAGTTTTCCAATCTTTATCTGACATTTCTTTTAATAAAGCTTCAGTTATTTGGGGTGAAATATCTACGCGAGGAAGAAAATCAACCAAGTTTATAGGTTCTAATGGCTCTTCGTCCTCGTTAACTTCTTCTCCATCAATATCACCCTCATCGGCAACATCACCGCCAACGCCCGCATCTACATTTTTAACATTTTCTCCTTTCTTCAAACCACGTACCGGCTTCGGCGGCTTCTCACCCAAATTTCTATCAAATTCTGCTTGAATTTGAGATTTTAAAGCGGGCTTTTCATTGTCAAAGAACATCATTAAAGTATTGCCCATATACAAAACCATGGTCCCCACTAAAGCAATGGCAGAACCTCTAACTGTAGGATTAGTACTTTGTACGGCTTTGCGTACGTCTTCTATTAAAAATTTCGGCTGTATTTGAAAGCCGAATTCAAGTATGGACTTATTAACCCAGTTTAGAGCTTCTGATTGTACCTTAGGAGATTTTTGTTCAAAGGCAAACGAAAGAACACGGCCCACTACGTAGTCCAACTTGGTGGCTTCAGCAAATGCTGTTAGAACTTCAGCAGCCGAACCACCGTTTTTAATATCTGCGAGTTTTTCTGTAATTTCATTGATAACAACATCTACAGTCGTTGATGTAGTCGGATATGTTTCGACTACAGTGCGTATGATATCTAATTTGATTTTTAAAACTTGAAAATTCATTTCTTTTAAACCGGGCTTGCGTCCGCTAATAGTGCGCACTAATATTTGAGAAATTCCCTGCATTTTTGGATCAAAATCAACGATTTGCTGCTGTAAATTTTCCACAGCGACCAAGCGATTTTTCCAGTTGCTATCACTTAGACTGGCCAAATCTTTTGCAGTAAAAATTTCTTCAGCTTTAGATTGAATCTCTTCCGCGGCCATCTCACGTTCGATTGTTAACATTCTAGCAGCGCTGGCACTTTTTGATAGGGGAATACCCCCACCACTTCCGCCCGTAACGGTTGTTTTCTTTGTAGAGACCTTTTTCATTCCCGCAGTAGCGGGACGTGTGACCGGTTTAGGCTCTATAGAACCACCCCGTGGTGTGGCTGCACCAGACGACGCTTTGCTAATTGGTGCCGTAGCTGGCCGCTCCTTTTTGACGCCTGCTATTTTAACTTTAATCTCGGCCTTCTCTTGGCATTCTTTGATTTTAGCCAATTTTAAACTGTCTACATCTATCAAAAAGGGACTCACTTGCTTGTCGCCCATAAGCTTGAGCAAAGTACCCAAGGCTTCAGCAGAGCAATCTCTGACTGTGGGATCTGGTTCATTAAGAGTTTTAATTAAAGTGGTAACCAAAAGTTTCAAAAGTTTTTTGTTAATAACTGTTGGTTGTGTGCGACAAAAGGCGCGAGCTAAAAATGAAGCCGTTTCAGATTTTACATTCGGATTCTTGCTGCCCAAAGATTCAACGATGCATTCCTGCATGGCCTCTAGGCTAGTGGATGGATAAATAGCGTCAATTGCGTCACGCAAAGCTGTGACAACATTAGCCTTCTTCTCTTTGAACTTTTCGAGCAAAGATGGGATACAGCCCTAAGGAAGCTTCGTATTAGAAAATGTTTTTATTTGCAATGAAATGAATTACCATGGCATAGGGGGAGAAGCGTTTTCCTAAACCTTTAGCCAGCATTGCCAAACATTTACCACCCATAGCCACTAAAACAACGTTAGTATCCTTGGTGATTACTTTTTTTAAAGCAGTCACTACAGCTCCATAATCTCCACTTTCTAATTTTGGATTTTCTGTAAGTAATTTATCTAAAATCTCCAAAGACTCTTTACGAATTGTCCATTTCTTTTCTTCTAATTTCTCGTAAAAATCTTTTGGAATCTTTGAGAGTATATCAACAGGATCAATAAGATCCATGGGGTCAATTTCTTCGATACCAGCATCGACGTCATCATCTAATGATATATGAAAAAACTTACTATTATGTAAATTTCCTTTAATATCCTATACTTACCATTGCCAACATCCTCATCATCTCTAACGGCAGCTGTCTGATGCTGTATTTTCTCTTGTTGAGATTTTAAGTAACGATTAGGTTCAGCTTTTTCGCCCTTTAACTTATCAAATTCCTCTTCCAGTTCCTTAATCGTAACCTGAGGGAGTGTAGAGATTTGCTGTTTCATTGCAGGCCCAATCCATCTAATAGTATAATAAAAATAAATTATTCAAATATAACTTCTCCACAACAGGAGAGGCTCACCTGTAAATTTCTATAGCTAATTGTTTGCCTTCATCGCGCACAGTTTTGTCGCGGTCGCTCATTAGCGGCGCCAATTTTTTAATTAGAGGTTTCACACCGATTACCTTACTGCCAAACTCTTTTAAAGCTAAACTTGTAGCAGCGACACAGGCAGCCACAATCTTAGGATTTTTGTGATCCATACCTTTGATCAGTTCTTCCGTAACAGCTTCTTGCTTTTCAATTTCAACGTACATCAAGGTTATCTGAACCGATAAATCTTTAGTTTTAGCTTTTTGAGCAGCGATACATTTCTGCACAATTCCCGACATAACATCGCCTACAGTTTTACCAGCATGTCCACAATTTTCAACAAAAATTAATGCCGCCTCTAAACCCCTTTCTTGAGCGACAGCATTCGAATCAACAATCATTTTCTTAATAAGTCCCGTAAACTTCATCCATTCTGGTGATTTCTCGTCGTCGATTTCACGGAAAATTTTGGCAGCCTCCTCGTAACCATCAACTCGCGCTTTCCATAATTTGTGAACGCAACGGTCTTCTACGGGCAACTTCTTATATTCGGTATCTTCGGCCATCTTAAGTTCTCTCGGAACGAGAAAAGTGCCTCAAAATTTATGACGCGCTGCTTTTATTCGTTCTTTTTTGATCAGTTTTTGGACGATAGCCGTTTAAAAACGTTTAAATACGTGAGGATTTTGTTCAATTTAAATAAACACTGAATACTGACATTGAATAGCGTGTAAAGAAAGAAAAAATAAATTTAAAAAAAAAAGATGAGAATTACTTAAGCTTCAAAAAAAAAAAAGAAGGAATTTGTCGATTTTTTTTCAAATAAAAAAATTAATTAAAATTGAGGAAATCTAGACGAAAATCAAAAATGTAGTCAAGCATAAAAAGCATTACTACAAATGCAGACAGCTGAATGACAAAATTTGACTTCACCCTTGAGAGAATTTCGGATACCAATCACTATATAAGGCAAAGGCATAAGTGGCTTAAATTTTTTTAACCCTGGCAACAGTTCCATTGTGATGTTTTTCGATCACATAATTAAATGACCCAGGAGTATTCATTTACGGAATTCATACTGTAGCAAAAGTATATTTTTGTATTATCACAATTTCTTATTCATCGTCAAATTTTCAACAATTTTAACGGATTTCGCCTGCGTTTTCGTGTGTGTGCACATGGGTGCTTGCGAAAAATTGGAATAACATCGTTAATCGCTGGTCCTTGCACAAATACTGTGACAACCTAAATGCGATATTGATATAAAGAGTATTGCTAATGTTTGCACGATAAACTTAAAAAAGGTCATGACTGATAAACTGATGACTGATTATTTCTGAAGTTATATTGTCAAGTTATAGGCTACACTAATCTATCTAATCAAATAATCTTCCTAATTATGAATACGAATACGATATATTAAAAACCCCTAATCCGTTTTCAAAAGTTGAGGATTCGATCAAAAAGTAGATTGAGATAGCAAACAGTCTTATAAATATGATGACTCTCTCAGTCTCGCTGATGATATATGATATGAAAACGGACTGTCCAATCATGTCCAATCCACGAAGTAGAAATTTTTCTTCCTCAAGATTTTATCGACATACTTTTTATATCAGAAACTCATTTGGCTTTCACTCAAAAATCAATGGATATAATTTAATGACTGTCAGTCACATTGAGGATGAAGCCTTAGCCTTGAAATAAGGCAAATGATCAGAAAAAGGGAAGATTGAAAAGACAATAGCAAAGCAGTAGGGATGGTCTGGATAAAAGGAATTTTAATGAAGCAACAAAGGGCTGAACAAGGAAATGAACAAGGAAATTGACAATTTTTTAAACAACATCTATCTCTAAAGAGCTAATAAATATCTTAGCCAAGTGACTTTAACAGATAAGCCTAGGAAAGTCGAAAAGTTTTCTCACTTAAACCCAGAAGGAATATTGTAATTTTCATCCCTTAGATTGGCCTACCACACACCTATCAATTGCTGAAGTCAAAGATGACGCGAGCAAACCAAACATTAATAAATCCCCGGGTTATGATTATATTAAGTGGAATAACTACAAAATCTTTAAGTCATTTTCTTAGCATTAACTTTCAACAAATACGTTAAGTTGGAATTATTTTCCAATTGAATAAAAAAGCGCTGAAATAATTATGGTGTCTAAGCCTAATGAGTCAGAAATTGTAAGCTCGTATAGACAATCGCTGGAATGGTTATTTTTTCTAAAATATTTGAGAAAACCACCAGTTCGGGTTCAAGAATAAACCTGATACCATTCATTAAGCAATGGTATGCTCTTTTTTTCGTGGATTAGAGAAGCCATTGAAAGTAAAAACTAGCGCGTTAATGTATTACCAGATGTGGAAAGGGCTTTCGATAAGGTGAGAGGCTTCTTTTCGAACCTAAAAAATTTTTTCCAACTCACATTTGCAAAACAGACATTCCCTTGTTCAAGTCACAACTTTAATTGGTGATGGAGTGTCGCGGGGAAATGTTCTAATTCCAGTATTCTATATAATTTTCCGATCGCTGACAATATTATAATCGCGACATATGCTGCAATCCTATTTTCATATTATGTGCTCTCATAAACCTTTCTTATGAAAAATTTTTGTTTATTTTATAGCAAAATAAATGCTGAAAATTATGCACATAATGCGTTTATGTTAATAAAAGTAGTCGTCCTTCAGAATTTTGAATGGCAATACCAACTCTAACAGCAACTGTGCAAAATATTTTGCACAGGTTTGGTTTACATATTGAGCAAAGATTAACTTTCAAAAATCATATTAGTCCTTCTCCACTCAACAAACGAGAAAAAAAAGAAGAAAAATCACATAGAAGCCAGACGCCAGCAGCTTGACTTAAAGAGCACAAGAGTCGTCCAGCATTTCAACTTAGTCTAAGAAATAAATACATTTTATACAAGAGCATCCTCCAACCCATTTGGCAGTACGCCATGTAATTGTGACGAGCAGCCAGTAACTCTAATATTGAAATACTCCAAAATTATGAATCTAAGATTCTCTTTCCATGGTTCGTTAGCAGCAAAGCTATTCATGATGACCTGCATTTTCTATTCATTAAAAATCTAATTCAACGCGGTTGTTGAAAATACCTTTCCAGACTGAATAATCACATAAAAGCTTTGGCAACATATGTCCTGGATGGTCCTGTTTTAAAGGCAGCATACTTTGGATCTTCTATTTAGAACTTAATTTATTTTTGTTATTTTATGTTGTTATGTTAAATTATTTTTTATGGTTTCTTTTTATTTATTTCAACATCATGTGTATAATGCTGCATGGTCACCATTGGGGAACAATAATCTCTGCTATATTTCCACATTTGCTTATTATTATTGTTTAGACAGATAGCAAATTAAACACGTAATTAAAAAAAAAGGTAAGAAAATTACATTCGGTCATGACCGAATCTTATATATTCATCACCGAATCTTTCATGTTCTCTAAACAAAAGGGAAAGAACTAAATGTTCATACTTTAGAATATTGGGTGGGCGTTGGTTGTATGGGGTGTGAGTAACAAGGAAACACATAGAAAGAAAACGCTTTCACAGTTTTTGTTGCCTAGGCGTGTCCTTTACCGTTTTGGGTCATTTTCAAAAGGTTTTGCAAAATTGTAAACGATATCTTTATTTTTGGGAACAGTGGAATGGTCACCGCAGATTCGGAACAGTTGCGCAGGCGAATAGATGGACAGATGAATAGATGGACATGCTTAACTAGACTTCGAATTCGAAACTAGATAAGAACTTGTACACTTTATATGGGTTTTGAAGCTTGCCTCTGGGTGTTACAAAAGTTTTGAAAAAGAAATGAGCCTGTAACACACTATAAAATTAAGTAGAAGTGTCCGATTTTTTCCTTTTTTATAGAGATGCAATGCTTATAGAATACACGCCCGCAAATTTTATAGATTTATGTGGCGTGATTTATGATTAAAAAGGAAAATATCAATTTTTTATTACTTTTTAACTACAGAGATACCCTGATTTTAGGTAGTACTGCAGGCGTATCCTTTGATGAAATTGGCCCATTTTCAATGCCAACCTGCGTGCAAGTACAGATGGATAAATGGGCATGTTTATATCGATTCAGGATTTGATGTTGATCAAGGTTATTTTTGCTTTATGGGATCTCTAAAGATTCCGTTTAGGTGTTACAAACGTTTTAATAAAATGAATATACCCCTCACCCTTTGGGGATAGGCATAAAATTTGAGGGAAATGTCGTCTGTACGTAATACGATAAAGTAACAAACATCGGTTTTAGGTATTTCATTATTGACTTCACCTCATGTCATGACACATCTAACGTAATAGAAGCTCATAAAATAGTTTGCAGATTTTTTATGTGGAAGGTCAAAGCAATGCAGCATTTAGATTATTTTACATTATTTCTGCTATTATGCGTCCTTTATCGAAATAAGATTTGTCCTATTTCATTACAATTAAAAGTTAAAATACCCTAAAATTTATTCAAATGTTTGACAATTCTCGACAATGTCCATCCGTTTCAAGAAATTCTGATTGCATCGACGCAACCTCAATGAAGAAATTGTCATCAAACGTGTGCATTAATTTCTGCACATTTTTTAGAAAAATTTTACAAGATGTTTTATTTAAAGTCGTTTTCATTTTTTTCACAATTTTTTTTTTGGCAGGATGTGAATTTCTTATTTTGGGGTAATCATTACCATTACGAAAAATTGGACACAAATTTTAATATTTTAACGTTTATTGATTTCTTATACATATTAAGGGAATTGCTTCTAAAGTTTCCAGTTTAGCTTATAAAAGAAATGCAAGCAAAATACAATTTTGTTGAAATGAAATCAACCGTTTTACAACTATTATATGCAGTTTTTGAAAATTAGGCCCTTGTGTATTCCACATTTTCATCTAAAAATATCTTTTCGAAAAAGAAGCAAATGAAAAAAAAAAAAAACAAAAATAAATGCAGTAAAAATGGCACACGAAGCTAAACATAAACTTTTGCTGTTTGCTATGGTAGATTCCATTCGACGGCATTGATATTTGCAAGCCACATATGCTGCATTAGATGGATAGAATAGTCTCATTTTTTCATTTATATTTATATTTTGCATTGCCTGCTATTATTTTCGGAAGGATTTACTAGAAATTGAAATCGATTTGTGCAATTTCTTGAGTAATTTTTGCAATAGCATAAATCAGCCCAATGGAGCTGAAAATAAAATTCGACGTCATCAATTACTGTCTCGAATAAGATTCAAAAGATGATAATCAATATATGGAATTGAAGAGCTTTGCAAACTAGTTAATGCCTTTTTTGGTCTACCCTGTATATTGACGTTTACAACATTGACTACAGGACGTTGGAAACAAATTTAGTAATAGCATGGGGTGTTTACATATGTAAACTTTTTTTCCTTTTTAATTTACCAAACTATTAACTTAACTTCGAGGAAACGTACAAATTGAGTTAAAATATTGTATGTTACCAAATTCGCGATATCATCGCCTTTAATAGATTATATCAAATAAATAGGTAATTTGACGTATGCTTCATTCATACCGGTGCTTAAAATATATATTCAGATAACAATTGCTTAACACAATGATAACATTTAAATATTTAAATATTCCGAACTATAAGAAATAGCTAACTATTAAAAAATCTTTTAAAACTTTTAATTTTTACTTACATTTTTTTTTGCTACTTTGTCCTATTTTTACGCTAAAGAAACTCTTAGCATATGGCCTGAAAATACTGTTCATTCCTGCATCCTTTCATCGGTCTATAAAGTCTTTGTCATGGTCGAGAACGTAAATTTACGGAAAAAAAAGTTGAAACTTGTACCTTCTTAACGTAGCGTTATCTGCTCTTCGTCACGTTCGCGGAATCTTCAAAATGGATCGATTAAAGTTAAAGTGAAACAGTTTATAGGACCATGTAAGATTTATAAATATTAGGAAATTTTTCGGAATTTTTGAAAATTTGTTTGATAAGGCGATATTAAAAATTCACTGGAAGAAAATGCATTTAGCCATTTCTCGGTCAAAATTTCATCAACTTTAAACAGGGTGAATACTGCGCTGTTCAAAAATCGATGGCAAATCCCCTGTATAAATTCTGGATAAGAAAATAATTGAGCGAAGTAAGTTAAGCTCTTACCATAATTTCTTCTACTTCTTCTATTCAGCAAACCAACAACCGAAAATTCGCAGTAATGTTTTATGTATTGCAAAAAACTGACTTATCGCCATGTATGAAAAAGCAATAAAATGTTGGGTTTCAGTTCTCTGATTTCAAGGAAAAAGCACAAATGTCGCACATAAATCCTGCTGTTAAGAGTTTTTCATTTGTATTTTTAGTTTTTTTTTTATGAGTTGCTACTTTGTATTTTTTTTTAAAGAATCGCATTGAATTAGAAAATGTACCAGCAGCATGACTTTAAAATGACAATTTCATAATCTTCATGTGTACTCCATAGAAAGATTGTAATGCCATAAAAAATTGCTCCTATTTGCGAAACAGCTATTAACTGCGTTCCTAGCGGCATACTTTCGAACTACTTATAAATCGAAAAAACATTAGCAAATAAAAAAAACATTTAATGCGAATTAACAACGTGAAAACTTTTTATGAATGATTTCGCATGAATTTACATCAATGATTTGATGGATGTTAAGAATTCAATTGTACGCCATTCGAAAGGCGTGCAGTCCTTAGTTTGGCTAGGTTTTGAGTGTGGGTTTTATCCATCGAATTTTACACATACGTTGCCCGTAGACATTCAAATACCTTGTACGGATATTGCAACATGGCTCTTCATTTAAACATAAATTCACAGTAATAAAAACAGGAGGTCAAGCGTTTGTGAACTATTTTTGATTTTTTCTCCGTATTATTTCGATAAGTTAGTTTTAAGGCTTTATTGCGTAATCCAGAAGTATTTATAATAGGAACAATTGGTAGCAACAGTACTATTGCCAATTCCAGTCAAATGGGAAGGAGGTGTTTTTTAATCAAGAAGTGCCGAAAATTTTATAAAAATGGAACATAAACTTTTTGGAGGTAATTATAAATATAAAACACATCAACCCAAACATAAAGCCCTGTTTTAAAATCTTAAAAAAATTCTTTTTTGAATATCAATGCGGGCCGTCGAGGTGACACTCCGGTAAACAACCCTAATTCTTATTGCTGTAGCATTTTCTCGTTGCACTTTCTTTTTCTCACATTTCAATATTTCTGCTCAGTTTTGCAGACTTCATTTAACGGCATAAATATTTGTTTTTGTTTTGCCGCCTTAAAGCGAAAAACAAGCGTTTGTTTCTATTTTTCGTATTAAAGAAGATATGTTGTAAAAGTCACAGTAAAAGCAACATTTTTGGCGAATAAAAAAAAAAGATAGAAAAAAAAGAGGCTCTGCGCAATTAATCATCTTGGTCAATTTCTATGTCTCATTGTTTGAAATGACCACAAATAGCAAGGAGTGAATCCGCAAAACTTTACATATTATTAGACTTACCGTTAATTTTTAATGAACTTTTCCTCACTTTAACCGGAATTATATTTAATTATGGATGAAAAATTGTCACGCCCACCTTTTTGGTGTATGCTTTTGCCTTTACTTGCACAAACCTTTAAATATTTATTTCATTTAAATTTTCTTATAATATAAAAAAATAACTATTGGAATATAAACAATCATAAAAATTGTAAAAAATGTTCGATCTTATTGCAGCAGACGCCAAGCAAAAAACTTCGATTTTTCACAGAAAAAATTCCTCATATACACTCACGCTACATAATCCACTGAATTGAATGACAAATCCATGAGTTTTTATACAAGCACTTAATAAAATAAAACTAAAATGAGGCACAAATTCCAACAATTTATAAACTTTTAGAAAACATTGACATCTGTCGCAATTTTACTTATGATTCTTAACACTTAACAAATTTGTGGAAACAATTTACTGAAGAGATAACATAACTGGCCGTCTTTGCCCATTTTTGCAGCTATTCGCAGGACTGCCAAATTTAGTATAAATGCTCGAGGGGAGAGATTTACTTTATGGGATTATGGGATACAATAAAATTTAACGCTTTTACTTCAGTCTCAATTAATCAATTAGTTGCTATACCTGAAAATTTGGAAAAACAAATTTCTTATTCACTATGTTATAATCGATTCAATACGGGAGTGAAACAATATTTTTGTTAATTTTATATATTTTATAGTATTATATTTCTTTAAGTACTTTGTGAACGTGAAAATTCGAAAAAACATGTCTTAACACATGTCGATTTTAATTTTGTTTTTATTAAAGGTTTGTTAAATGTGGTAGTCTTGTGCCGTTTTTCACGTGGCGGCAATGAGTCGTTTTTAACTAGTTGTGGAGATCATGAGTCGTTTCTAACATATGGAACATACTATACTGATTAAAAATATATATGCTTTATGGAGTTTATGAAGCAGCCTTCCGGGTTATGAAAAAATGAATACAAACCACACCCTTCCATAGTGGGTATAAAAATTAGAATGCGATAAGCGTTATGCAACACAATAACTTAACAAGCGTTAATGCTATAGTTTTTATTTATAATGTCTATTTTAATTTTTGTTTTTTTTTTATTATCGTTGAAGACGTTTGCATGGATGCGCTATGTTAGGATTAATTATTTAATGAAATTAATTTTTTTGAATTATCGAAAACTTTGATGAATTCATTTTACTTCCCTGTTGAGATCAGCGAAATATGTACAATGTTTGAAATGACAAAAGGACTTCTGCTTTTGACTTTAGCTATTCACGGTCTTTGCGAATTTTTGTAAATATCTAAACGGTATTATACGCAAACGAGGCCATAAATTTTGTCATCGCGATGATTTCTATTTTAACCGGCGCACTTGAAAGCCTTTTCTCAGCCATAAATCCGTCAAACTACCATTTAGTCAAATGTAAATTTCTATTGCAAATTTGTACGTCTGCCCAATTTTCAATCATTCTCATGACTTTGTTTATTATAATTGTTTATAGTTTATTTAATATATATATATTTTTATATTTTAACGATTTTTAAATATTGTTAATTATAATAATAATGTATTTTTGTGTGTATGTATGTGTGTATTCGTGTGTATGTTTCTATATATAATAATTTAGATACATATGTATATATAATAGTCATTTACAAATTTTTCATTTTATATATATTTACTGTATTTTTCTAAATTTCGTTATTTTAATGTTCATTTAAGAAATTTTAAATTTTTTTCTTTGAAAATTATTTTTAATTTTAGTTTCACAATCTTTTTGTTTAATAGTTTACGTATGTTTGTGGGTTTAAGTTTATATAAAAAAAAAATTCAACTATTTTTCTTGTTTTTTAATAATTACTATTATCAATAAAATATTTTAGAAAGCAATAAATAGAAAGAAGTCGTATATATGTAATAAATGTATGTACAGAGTATAGAAAAAAAATTTCCAAAATTTTTTAAAATTATTTTTTACAAAATTTTCTTTTTGTTTTTACTTTTGTAATAATTTCTTGTCAAAATAATTTAAAAAAAAATTTTTGTTTAATTTTTTTGGTTTTTTGTTTTCTTATCATATTCTGTTTTGTTAAAAAAATTGCGTTTGTTTCTTTTTAAATTCTTAATTATACAATTATTATATTTATTATCTTTGTCTAATAGCACATGGTTTTCTTGAGATGCTTAAGTAATGCTTATTTGCTTGTTAATTTTACATTTTAACATTTATTCATCGTTTGATAAAATATTGTTTTGTATATAAACTTATATTTTGTTTTTATATAAGTTATTTTATGGTATATTTTGTTAAAACTCTATTGTAAACATTATAATTTCGTATCTAGGGGAACTCGGAAAGAGTTTGATAAATATATATACATATACACATATAATAAAAGAAAATATTGACTGATGATTTTTTGTCATTGTAAGCGGCTTTAAAACTCCCCGTGAAATTTATGAGAACAAATGTGAATAGGGAGCCGACGATCCCACTTGTACGACACAGCCAATCCAAACTAATGATTTACCGCCTTGAGAATGCATTGCAGTTCTTATGCTCAGTTTAATGTATCTCATTAAACTGATCAGTAGCGTCCATATAAATATCTATGAAAAGCGAGGAAACATTAAAAATTTTATAAGTTTTTCAAATAACTTTTAATTCGATTGAGTGTAACTTCGAAAATGCTAAGGCCCCAATTAACATCTTTCAACCATAAATGCTTAGTTTAATAGTGTAGTTCTTTCCATGCCGTACTATCTGATTGAATAAGATTTTGTGTTAATGGATCGGTGATTACGGTGATTATATAAACCGCGATCTTGAAAATGTTCGGCATTTACTATCAAAATTTGACGAATAGCATCAAGATCCAACATTAATACTATCGGTTAATCGATAAATGGTGCTTGTCCACTATCGAGGGTGTAGAAACGTCGTAAAACATCAGCTGCGTGCAGCTTACTTCCAACACATGGGTTTAGCATGCAGTATACCACGATATTTCCAATAAATGAAAGCTGCTTTCACTATTCAATAGAGAATTGTTATCGAACCCAAAAGGGTGAGCATTAAAAATTGTGCAAATTCATTATCCGTCTCTTTTTGCAGTGCAAAATTGTTATCAAATAGATAACAATGCTATATATCGTTAAGGAAAGCAGAGTCTTTTTTTCCAAATAACGTTGAGAATTTCTTTATATCAATTATCTGGGGTTTACTAAATGTGCTATGTCGCTGGTACAACCTCAGCGACGATTTTCGAATTGGGACTCCAACTTTGCCAATAACAATACTGCAAAATAGATAAGTTATGCCCATAGAATAAGTAAAAGAATGGGAGGAAATGGAAGAAAAAAAAGAGTTTTCAAAAATCCTGAAATATATGTAAATGTTTTAGCTTCTTCGGCCGATTTTCAGGTTTGTTTTATGAATGTTTTTTGGTTTATTAATTCCTCAGCAGTAGAACCTACTACTACTACCAACCTTCGTCAGGCTGTAAAAAAGAAACATCTTATTTTATTTATTCTTGCTTTCACTTCCCTTTTGTGGACTCAAACCTTCTGGTGTCGGCTGCCGCGCTTGTTAAACGCTTCAACGATTAGGTGGCAGGCATATTTAATTTATTCTTTTTGATGCAGTTTTCATTACAATTCCTAAAAGGGCTCTTCTGTTTCTCCTGTTTACATTCTGTTAATTCTTGGCGGTATATCATGTTATTGTAAACATCGATGTCATGTGGAGGACATACCATTTCCAGCAATGCCATATAACCAATAATGAAAACGAAGCGAGTTAAAAGGAACTCCGGCATTTTCAATTGAGACGCTGTGTTGCCATATTTGTAAAACTTTAGCTCTAACACGCGCTGATATATCGTTAATGTGCATGAGAAATTTTCTGCGTTTAACGTCCCAATCAGGATATTCGCTGCTACGGTCTGGTGGCGACTCATTTTGTGTCTTAATCTGCAATTAAATAGAAATAAATAACTAAGTTATAAATGATAATCAGTAAAGATAAATTTAAACTCACCATTGTATTACAGCGAATATTGCGAGGAGGGAGGAGTTCTGGGGTTGTTTTAAATTATTAATAATAATAACTGATTATATTTACGGATATTATCGGGAATCTTTCAAATAAAAATATATTAAAGAAAAATATTTTTTAATTCATTGTTTACGCGAAGAAGCTGACGTGCGGTGGACTCTGGCGTCTTAATCCGCTGATATGTTTACGTCCTCGGTTTCCCATCATTTTATCTCTTTCACCTGCATGAAGAGCGCGCACCCAAATAAATTTCTGTGGTGGGTACCGCCTCTGCTGCAGGAACCTCCTAAATACAAACGCCTTGTAAATCTATTATGATCATATCAATATTCAAATTCATTTATCATTTTATAATTCAAAATCTCTAGCAATTTTGTATACATTCTGCAGCTATTTTTACTACGAATTCCTATACCACCCATTGATTTGTATACATTCTGCAGCTGTTTTTACTACGAATTCCTATACCAACCATTGATTTGTATACATTCTTCAGCTGTTTGGAAGGTTTTTTTATTGGACTGCATTGCGCAGTTTAATGTCTCTGTTTAGCTGTTTGTTAGTTTGAGAAATTTGAATTCGATTTTGTTAAAATGAAATTTGAGTTCGAATTTATTAGTATGAAATTTGGGTTCGATTTTATTGCATTTTCAAGCTTTGACAGACAACTATTCAAAACAATTCAAGCTATGAACATATGATTAATTTTGCGTTCTTTTCTCACTGCAAACCGCTATCCTTACACAATGTTAAGTTCTTGTTCTCATTTTTATAAATTTTTGATAACAAAATCAAATAACGGTAGAATATGCAAATTGTTATTGCAGTTTTAAAAGGTAACGATTTTACCTTAGATATCAGCAAAATAATTATTAAATTTTCCTGCTTAATGTAAAATATAATCTTATTTCGCAGTTGTTTCAAGCAACAAAATCGTTGAGATTAAGAAAGGAATAGAAAAGAATATAAATATCATAAAATAAAATAGAGATAATACCAAATCAACTTTATTAGTAACGAAGCAGGAAGGATTGAAGGAAATTATTCATTGCTCCTTCCGCACGCACTGAGGAATTAATTTTTCCCATATCTTTAAAGTCATCTCTCTGTACTCCAAATAAACAAGTAATTCTTGAGAATAAATGTTTTCGCTCAGTATCCTCGCGATATCTAATTTATTTTCCACTAACTATGGAAGTAGCGCATTGCAGAGTGAAATAAGTTTCCTATCCATATCCGCGAAAATCAATATTTCAATATTTTTAGACACTTGTGTCCTTGACATCGATTATAGTATAGAAGTGTATTTATATCCGAGGCATGCTGATATCGAATGACCCAGAAGAGGGTAGTACTCGCGTAAAGAGTTGCGTTTTTCACTCTAAAAGCATGG